GAGTGATGGAAGGGTGTCCTGCACCTGTGCATAGATCTGACCTGCTTCTTCTTTCATGGGGGACGACACGAAGGACTGAGATAAATAATAAATAAAACACTGACCGGGCTCGCAAGATGAAAAGGGCCGCGCATCCTCAGCCCAGCCAATTGGCCACAAGGGGGACGTTTAGAGAGTCTTTATTGAGATGAGGTGGCTGGAGTGGACATCTCAAAGACTTAGAAATGAACTGTCAAGAACTCAAGAGCTTTCACTGGTGAAACTTCACTGGTGAGTTTCTTTATTTCCAGAAAAGCAATCATATATGGGCTATATTTACAGGACTATAAAATTAGTTTATTTTTCCCTTCATTTACCTGCTTTAAAGGCAAAACAAAAGTCAAGCCTGTATCAATACCCAGATTATGATCATTGTGATCATCTAGAGATCATTCTAAAAGTATACTTGCCATTTCAGATATTCAGACAGCAATGAAATCATCATCAACAGCCATTTATTACTCTAGAATTTATACAGGCCTTCGTGGCCAGATTAACCCATTCCATATCTAACAACTAAATTAAGTATGATGAGGAAAAATGACACAGCACTTGCTTACATTGATTACATTTCATGTAGTCTACCATGGATGAACATCTAACAGTTATGTGACCAAAAGGTGTGATAAAATGATCAAAACTCACTTTTTTGTCATATGCTTTGCTCAATTTGAAAGCATTCTTCAGATTTGTGCTCTGGCAAGCTCAGAGAACAGCTGGACCAAAGGAAATATATGAAATATATTAATGGGTATAAAAGATATTAATAGGTATATACATTAATGGGTTAACTCATCATTTGTAGTCTATGGCTCTATGGCTGACAATTAGAACTATCTTTTGACAGAATTATTTTCCCTCCTTGAATGTGCTCACATCTTCATTTAAATGTGAAAGGCTTATTAGAGTAAGTTATCCACCTGGCACACAGAGTCAACCGCGCCAGTGGTGTAAAACCAACAATTGGCCCACTGACAGACATCGCATGTAAAACTATATATAACGTGCCTTTTGTTGGCTCACACCTGGAATACGCGAGCTATTAGTCAAAGTATGGAAGCCGCAGTAATCTGGGATAAGTATAGCCACGGCCGCTGAGCAAACACACACCTCGCTCTGAATGTGAAATAGTTTCAATACAGAGGCGAATTGATCTTCTACTGGAAAGTCTTTGCAATAGAAATTGTATTTGTACGCACACACACACACATATGTACATGTAATATATATATATAATGTAACAAATAATGTAATATATATATATATACACACACACATACAATTTCATGATGAATGGACGAAAAGAAATGGCCCAAAATTACTTCAAAAAAACTCTGGTTCTATTGATTTTCATTAAAAGTGAAGTTTTTCCTTCTCCTGTTAAGTTACCATTTTGGAGGTTTTCTTCCGACAACAGCGATATATACACAATACTATATATATTCTATATTATATGCTATATACTATAGATTATGTATAGTAATAGTAGTAATAATTATAGCAGTATTAATGATACTGATACTGCAGTAATAACTGATATTATGACAATGTTTGTAGCCTATATTATAGAAATTATAGATTGGCCAAATGACAAATCAATGTTTTTTCTGGTATATTATACAATTACATCAAGTAAATGTCGAAACATATTGTTACCTCCTCTACAAAGTTAAAAAAAAAAGGTTTGCTGGACTTTTTAAGTCAATGGACAAAGGCATTTGATATTTGATGTTGGTTTTTTTAATCGTCCCATTTGTTTAATTTTAGAAAATCTTCGTTTTACAACTTTATATGTCCAGAATTTCCACACATTAAAGCCAGGTCCACTACACCCTGGCCCTTCATACCTCCCTAACATCATCCTAACTGGGCCTTTGCGTGTGATTGGTGAGTGAATAATTTCACAGTGGGGAGCCTGCAGAGGCGCTGGTTTCAAGGCAAACTTACTCTGCGACCACTGTCATTTTCCCTATCAAATGGACAATGGAGAGGCCCTTGCATATAAATTGGTGTGGTGCAACCACTGAAGTTAATTAGGGGTTTTATTTGGTTGCATTTACATTGGGGATCACAGCACACATCCTTTGTGAGAATGCTAAGAAAGGGGGGCGTTGTTTGAGGAAAGGAAGTTCGGACATAACCGAAACCATGCACTTTGTTTATCTGCCTATGGCCTATTCAAATCCCAATCACTGCATCAGTCTGTATTATGCACTTCTTTGATGTGGATCTTCCACTGTAGGAAATTATTGAATGAAAACATGATAACGTGCTTTATGTTACTGTGTTAGATCTGCTAAATATGGTTTTCTATGTTCTGTCAGAGATGCATCATTTCATTTCAGATTCCAATATGGTACAGTACTGTGCAATATGTTTGAGCTGAAGATGGCTTAATAGTCTTATTTCAAGAAGTTGCCTGGATTTTTTTAAATAGGCCAGACTTAATCTATTCAACATGCAAAGGTTTGGACACCCCTGGTCATATTAACTATGTTTTGATGATTTTCTAAGTAAAAATAAGTTAATACATCATCTGAAGAGAACAAACTTCTGCACACTTTAATGCACAGTTACTGCTTATTTGCTGAATTTAACATATTGTGAAAAAAAAACCCATAAAATGTGGCCTGTGCAAAAGTTGTGGCACAGTTTATATTTTATTTTTCCCATTAGCAAATAAATAGAAGGCATGCATTTACAGTTTCACATATTTGCAGAAAAATGTCATATTTAAAAAATCAGAAATTAGAAAATCAACAAAACGTAATCTGTCTGGAGTGTTCAAACTTTTGCATACGACTATATATTAAATTCTGAAATCATGATGAGTTTAAACTGCAACTCCAACAGTCTATAGTCCACATTTGAATATATATCATGAAATAATCACAGTTTATTCTTCTTCCTCTTTCCATTTCCATATTTTGGGGTGTGCAGCATGCAGGCTCTCACAACACCTCTGAGCAATTTATTTAAACATGTGGCTTGAGTGAACCTGGTAAAAGAAACAAGCATGAGAAGATAATCTGTCATTCCGACACTGAGCTTACAATCAACAACATGCCTATCTCATCTGATAGCATCAGCCAGGTGTCCCTTACACACATACACACACACACATCTCTCACAGTGCACACACACTCTGCAAGGCAAATTATGTTTTGGAAAGATATGTTAGTAAACACATGATACTATTGGGGAAAATATCAGGTCAGCAAACAGGTCCTAAGGGTGTGTGTTAGCTAATAATAATAATAATCATAATAATAATAATAAGGTCAGTGAATGTAAAGAATACATTTGTGAATTTGTGCGTTTATTTATACTGTGTATTATATTGTATTAAATATGTGCTATGTGGTGTTTTGTGCTGTCACAGAGTAGTATTATATCTGGATGCACGAGAAACAATAAAAATCAATCAATATATACATCAACAAACAATTATTATTATTATTATTATTATTATCATTACTAGTAGTAGTAGTATTAGTAAGTACTAAAAAAAGTACAATCTATTCAAAAGTTTGGAATAACTTGTATTAATAATCCCTGTTCTTTTATTCAACTTTAGCTTTTGCAGTGTATATTGAAATATTAAAAGTGAAATGTATTTTTAATATGTTTTATTCAATATTTGAAGTTTTTGGGGGAGAAACACCAAGAAGTTATTAAAGGGTAAATTCTATACTGTATTATTAATTTATACTGTTTTCTTATCAAATTATTTGCCTCAAGATTTGCACATCTTTTTTAAAAAAAAACGAGGTTTTATGCATGGTAATTTCTTTCTAACGTCATTCTCAATGTCATACTGCTTTCTCTGTCATCAAGGAATCATTTACAGCGCTGTCCTTCATTCTTTCAGATTTGTTGAAATCTATGACATTGTGGAGCAGTAGCATCAAATTTGATTTGTTTTATATGTATATCTTCAAAAATTGGCTTTATACTGCTGAAAACAGTGATCTCAAACTTTGAACGGTAGTTTAGATGTAGCAGCAGTGAGCAGTAAGTATCTGCATGACATCATATTTCTGATCAATCCTTGTGCATAGTACTGTATATACTGTATATTTTGCTGTAAGGGAACCATAGCCTAATAAAAAAGCTGCATTGTTGTACTATTATTTGTGTTTGAATCGTATTATTCTGCATAATATTTAAATCATCTCGTGAAATGTTCACTGCAAGACTATGAATTTCCATAACTGGACAGCTCGTGACAATTTCAGCCTCGACAGCAAAGTCAGGCAGGCAGTCTACAGCACCTGCTGTATCGCTGTACGGATTTCTTAGCCTTTGTCTCCCCCGTGCGGCAGAGACGCGGTACTATAGGTTACAGCATTTTTTTTTTAAGTAAGATCTGGCTTTCAATACGTCTTGCATTTATCACTAGACCTAAAAATAGTAATAGTTGAGAAAATTATTCTAGTCTGTGCATTACAAAACAAATGAAATTTAATGCATTTAACAGTGCAAAGCATTAGTAAAATATTATTAATTTGCTACTAGTGCCATATATCACAGCAGCATGGTTTGTTTATATGTGTATGTATTGTTTCATTATTTGGGTATATTAGACTGATAAAACTGAACTGGGTGATTTTACTATTATATCATCTCATTGGTGTACTGATATATTGTATTTTGTGGTATACTTTATACGGCTAAACTCGCCTCGTTTTGCTCAAGCCGAGTCAAGTTCATCACCGCACAAACAGAGACAGAGACAGACAAAAAGAGAGAGACAGAGAGAGAGAGAGAGATTAAGAGAGAAAGAGAGAGAGAAGAACCGCTCCAGTTCTAGCACGTTCGGCGCAGCGGAGTGAAAGTGGCCATTAAACCCCGCCCCCCAAAATAGAGAAACATTCAATTGATGTCCTCTTCGACCAATCACATCGCAAAGCAGGGCATACTTCGGCTCCTGCTGACCAATCAGAAAAACAAACGCTTAACCTGAACATGTCAGCAAAACAGAGGGGGGAGGGGATCCACTAATGGCAGTCATATTTCTGAAGCTGAAATAATGCACTAGGTCCAAATATCGATTTCTGTCGCCCATAAGGTAACCGAGTCCTATACTGTTTACCTTAAAAATATTAAAAATGTGTATTCGTTAAAACAGGGCAGCGTTTTTACAGTTCAGGAAAGGGCTTCGGGGCCATTACAGCGTGCTAACATAACTGTACAGAGGGGGGTTAGCCAGCTAGCGCGCTGCTACTTCTGGTAAATAGGCTATGTGCAGTGGGACTGTAGACAGCTAGCCTAGCCTGGTGGGCTATGCGTAGGTGGGAACTTAGGCTCGGCACGAATTTAGTCTAGTTAGCTAGCTAATGTAGTCATACAGTAAAAGGAAAATAGTTTTTCTGTGTGACACACACGACTGTTGTCGCATGTGGTTGGTGCTCCGTGTGTTTACAGACAGCTGTCATGGCGAAGTCTTCGAAACTTTTTTAGCAGATTTAACGGAACTGCAATGGCGCTGCTGCTGTCCCAAAATAATAACTCACCCATGGCTAAACACTCCAGCGTCTTACCTACGATTTTCCCTGCTGGAAAAGAGTTAAACGTTTTTGTAAATTATAATTAAAAAGATATCATATGTGACTCGTTCCTCACAAAGTGTCCGTATTATTTGTTATGTGGGACCACAAACGTTTGACGAGGCTGAAGTTGGCTTGTTATTCGCCAGCTTCTTATTTGAATTTGCCCGTTCCACCTTAAACGGTGCAGCAGTTACATTCTGGTGCCTCAGCGTTGTTTAAGGTGGAGCGGGAAATTTCGAATAAGAAGCCAACTTCAGCCTCGTAAACGTTGGGCCTGTACGTTATAACCGCTGGTTTGAAAATGGAGAGTTTTTTCACCGAACAGAACTTTTACCATGTATTTTGTTTGGATTTTCCCTCTAGCATTCAGTTCAAGCTTCGCATGGCTTAGCAAACTTATGTATGTGATGTAATTCAAAGTCAACTCTAGTTACTTTTCCTATTTACATTTGCATGGAAAGATTAGGCAGCGATGCTTAGATATCGCGGGTGACTGTTTGCTCATCTGTTACAAATTTAGCCTCTGGCCTTTGTGTTGATCTGAGCTGAGTCTGATCCAAAGAGGAGCGTGTCAAAGTGTCAGATGGGGCACATTGTTGAATTGTTATGCAAATACCCGCACACTTTCTCCAGTGATACTAAGGCCCAGACAAACTTTGATCATCTTTGCCCTCCTCACCAAGGCGTGAGCTTGGAAACGCAAGGAATTTGGAAGGAAAATTAAGTATTGACAAAAATGCAGAAAAAAAAACGTAAATATGTTATGTTTAATTTACATTGGATGTATGTCAAGGCATCCCATACAGGGATTACTCTCAGTCCATTTAAGGGTGTAATATATTTATTAAGCAGGTGTTCTACTCTCATAGCTAATGTTAATACACATTTGTGGCAGAAGTAAACTGAGACTTTGGTTTTGTGTGTCTGTCAGTGTTATTTTCTCTGAATTTTTACCGACTTATCTGCAGCTTCACAGCTGATAGATGTCCACGCCAACCGATCCGTCTGTTGGAATGTCCCATCCTGGTCCTTCTCCAGGCGCTGGCCTGTCCCCAGGGCCCATTCTAGGGCCCAGCCCTGGTCCGGGTCCCTCTCCAGGCTCTGTTCACAGTATGATGGGTCCTAGCCCAGGGCCTCCCAGCGTTCCCCATAGCATGCAGAGCCAGGGGACAGCAGACTATTCACAGGATGGCATGCATCCCATGCATAAGGTATGTAGGACTGTGACTTAACATACTAGTTTTATGGGTTTCCTTTATTTTCTCAGTGTTGTTACAACTCCCTATAGCAGTCAGTAGTCTTCAACATCTGTTGTATGTTGGGCTGAAAACAGCTGTTGTGTATGATTGCATGTGCAAAATGTAATAATATAACAGCTGCAAAAATTCACCAATAATTCATTTATTACTTTTACGATCCCTTAATGCTGCACCTAATATTATAATAATTTTACAATAATGTAATAACACATAAACATGTAATGAAATTGTGTGTTTAACTTTAAAATGTTAAAAATGTAATAAAACCAAATAAGGTAATAATTTGTCTAGTAATGTAATGCAGGGTCTTGACCGTTAATGCAATACTATTTGTATCAATAATGTATTACTTTATTACACTCTTAGGAAGTTTCCTAAAATTCTTAGGATTTTTAGGATGATCATTTGTAACACCTTATTACATTATTGGGAATATACTTTTTTCTTGAATTATTATTATATCCATGTTTCTTTTCCAAATGGATAATATAGTTTTTTTTTGTCATGATGTAACACTAAATGTATTTTTAGTCTACGGCTGGAGCTGAGAGCTCAATAAATCAGTGTTCATTTGTTGGTATTAAAGTGTTAGTCAATTGTGCCGTCGTCTTAATTTTTTTTACCTACAGAAATACCAGTGTTGGAATATTCTGTATCATACCAGTATTAAAAGCCTGTCAGCAGTGCTTTGATGTGATTACGGAGAGAAATGCTGTTTTCAGTTACATTGCAATACTTAAAACATGCTGTAAATCTTAAGTTGAAATAATCAATTCTAATAACAGTACACCAGTTGCATACGATTATATTCTTGTCTATACAACAAACTTTGCAAGGCTATGCATTTCTATTCTGCACTGTTAGGTGACAAAACAGCACTATAATAATGAGTAAACTCACTTGGGAAAAGATTTTATTCTCGACCCACATATCTAAAAGAGTTGGGACATTTTTTATTGCACATAAATACATTAAAAACAAGAATCTGCAATTTGCTAATTCTCTTGAACATCTATTTAATTGACAGAAGTACAAAGAAAATAATAGTAATATTATTTCCCACTGTGTTACATCACCATTTCTTTTCATTTCACTTTTAAATCAATTGGGAACTGAGGATACTAATTGTTGCAGTTTTGCAAGCAGAATTTTTGCCCATTCTTGACTGATACAAGACTTCAGCTGCTCAGCAGTCTGTGGTCATTGTTTGAAAAACATGGTCAACTCGTGAACTTAATAAATTCCCAATATTGTAATATAGGATTATAAATGACCAACTTGAAAATATAATGGTAACACTTTGATAATCTATTGAATGCAGGTTCTTCACAGCCGGTACATCATTGATATGTTGTTGATATGCTACTCAGAGTCTGTTGTGTTTTTTTAATCTATAAAGGACCACTTAAAATAAAGTGTCACCCATGTAATAAATTCCCAATAATGTAATATGGTACTACAAATGATTAACTTCAAAATCTTATAAATTCCCAATAACAGAATAGGGTACTACATTATTAAATACATAATTATTCGTTTATTATGGTAAAAATGTTATTACAATAATGGTTAAGGCATTCTATTACATCATTAGGCAGTTTATTATATTATTGGGATTTATTACATTTTGACTGAGCTAGGTGCAAAATTTTGCTAGATTTCTGGGATTATTACATTATTGGCAAATTATTACAACAGTAAGTGCTACATTTAATAATCTTTTTATCTCACTTGAAGTAATCTCATAATGAATAAACTCTGGGTCTGTGTGAGACAAGAATCAATTCTAAATTAATTTCTAAACCCACCGAGGATGAAGCACATGACATTGCAGATGTAGTGTCAAATCTGATATAAAACTAGAAATTATAATATAATTTGGAATACTGTTTTTTCTTGTTGTTTTTTGATGTGTTGGTGCAGGTGTAGTGTTGAATTAGGTCTATGTTGTTCATTGATCATGTTATTAGTGTGCATGTAAACACATATTGTTTGCTCACTCTTGGCTCATTTCAGCCTATGGAGGCATTGCATGAGAAGGGAATGGGAGATGACCTGCACTATGGCCAAATGAAAGGTGTTGGGATGAGATCTCTGCACAGTGGCATGGGTCCTCCACAGAGTCCAATGGATCAGCACAGCCAAGGTATCTGCTATGTGCGTCTGTTAGTGTGTACCCAAACTATGCGGAGTAAGAACTAGAGATATGGGATATTGGATATGTGAATTGTGGGCCGATGCCAATATCTGATATTTTTCATGAACATTAACATTTATAAAATGTAGAAATTGGAATTAGAATAACCTGGATTAGCATTAGGAGGAATAGATGTAACAGTTATTTCTACAGGGTTGCAGATCGAGTAAATTGAATTAAATGCAGACATTGAAGTGCGGTTGCCTAAATGTTCTGCTCTTCAGTATAATAAATACATCATCATATATTGGTTTAAATTGTCAAATTTAATATCTGTCTGATGCGGATAATCTCTTTTAAAAACCAAATATCTGCAGATACCAATATGATTCTGATATCATCGTGCATCCCTAGTAATCATATCGTGTAATCATATCGTATTTTGTGTTTGTCAAAAATGAGACAGAATTAGTTAAAATTGTGATTTCAGTTAAAATTCAAATTATAATACCCATATCTAAAAAGTGTGCAGCTCTACTATTTGGTAAAGCTAATTTCAGTGCAGAATTATATTTCAGCCCAGTACAAATTATTCAGTGGTACAGTGAAGTTTATAAAGACTTTATGCCTAAGAGAGAGAAATCTTATAAATATAGCAGTGTCCTTCTTATGCCATTAATAATCAGACATACTTTAGTCTTATTGCAAAATTCAGTTGTTGATACACTGAATTTTTTCATCTCGTAAGTGTGTATAACTGGCAGTTTCCTTGTGCTTTTGTGCCAAGTATTCTCAAATAGAGACGGTAATCTATCTTTAAACACAAAGGTTTCCTCTCTTTCCTAGGATACATGTCCCCCCACCCTTCCCCAATGGGACCTGTACCAGAGCATGTGTCAAGCCCCATGTCAGGAGGGGGTCCTACGCCACCCCAGATGCCCCAAACTCAGTCAGGCCCCATGATGCAAATGGATCCTCAGGGGATGGGGCAACAGGGCCGCGGTCACTCTGCCTTTAGCCCTGTCCAACTGCAGCAGCTCCGAGCTCAGATCCTGGCATACAAGATCCTGGGACGAGGACAGCCTCTTCCAGAGAACCTGCAGCTAGCCGTACAGGGCAAGAGAAGCCTTCCAACAATGCAACAGCAGCCTGTCAACACTGGCCCTTACAACAGGCCTCCAGGTGCGTGCTGGGATTTGTAGTGTTATTCAAGGTGCATTGAAACCAAATTTCAGTTAAAATAATTAGATGTTAATTTTAGCCTTTTTAATGAATAAACATACATATTCTAGAATACTGATCTTTTCTGATCAAGACTTCTTACATCACCATAATACAATACATTACGCATATTAGTCACAACTGTAATGTAAACAGCATTTATAAAGCCTCAAAATATGTATCTGCAGCTTTACATCTGCACATTTTTATTCTTAAAACTCTGTTAATCCCCTAAACTGTGAAGACATATCTAATAATTAATTTAAACATAACTAGAATGTATGCTGTTTGTTAGGTGCATTAGATTGTTAAAAAAAGAACAGTTTTAAATGTAGTAAAATTATATCTTATTAATTAAAATTAATAATATTTTTGCTTTTTCAAAAAATGGGGTTTCTGTCTAGTTCATGCTTTTAACGTTGTTCAAGTTTTCCTTGACAGTAAATGACTGTATGAAGTTAATTAAGGTATGCCACACATTTCCATTCAAAAAGAGTAGAGAGCATATACAGATTTTGTTACCTCTGTATAACAAAGTGCCCCTGCTCTGTTCTGGCTCCCGTTCTGAATTTGACTCCACCTTTTTGTAGCTGGTTTTTGTGCCTTTGGAGCTGCCTTTTAGTGGAGGGAGTACCATTGTCCCAGTCACATTCCACCATTTTCACAGCCTGTTCTTGTTTCCATTTAGTTTTCTATTTGGCACTGTTTATCCATTTTCTTGTTGTTTTCATGCTGTAGTTCACTTTTTTTAAATAGTGTTTTCTTGGATTATCTTGTTTATTCTTTGTTTTTGCTTTAGGTCTGTCTTCCTTGTTTAGTTTCCCAGATTTGCCTACACTTTTATTTTGTTTCCATGGATCTCTCAGATATTACCATCTGTACTTTAGAACAATTAGCCGATCCAGACTGCAGTCGAATTGACTTGCAGTTCGTCCTGCTTTCTTGCCTGCCTCCTTGTTACAGAATGCCATTTGCCAGATGATGCGGCGATTTTGTTTAAAGTCCAAAAGAAGGTTATTTAGAAACAAAAATTGTCCTGCAAAGACGCTTCCCCTTATGAACAAAGGCAGCACAGAAAACTCAGCAGTCAAGGCATTTCCCTCATGGATGAAGAACGTGTGTCTTGCGCTGTTGAGGAAATTTTTTAGAAGGCTACGCTACTTCATGGAACTTGCCTCTATGGCTGCTGCTATCTTTCAGGCAGCAATGTCTCCTGTCTCAGTGCCTCAGCTGACCGTTTTACTCCCTGCTGATCTCTCTTCACTTTTTCAGACAGAAGGTGGCCACCTTGTGTCCATGGGTGATGCCTGTCTGGCATCTGATATTTTTTTACTTTAGGACGGAGGGCACTTTCCTACTCTGCACCTTAGCCTACTTGTGTTGGTGTTTTAGTGATACTTCAGGTTTTGAAAATATTTAAATGGAATGTAACTGTACGAACAACTGAAACAAGCACACATAGGTCTCTATTATTATTAAATTATTCTGAAGTTCAGAACTTTTTATTATAATTATTAATGCAGTCCTGAAATGTAGAGATGCTGCTGCAGCTTTAACACCCCCTACTTCCCGCATCCCTGACTGCAGCTTACATGGTTAATGCTCCAACCATGTAGCAATTAACTTGTGGTCTCAAGTGTTGAATTTTAATGTAAAAGTAGTGCAGGACCATCAGTGTATTTGAGAAACAGAGTTTGTGCGGCGGGCCAGTGTGGCTGCAGGTTTTTACTCCAACAAAGCAGGACATCACCTGATCTTACAAGTGGAGTCAGGTGTGCTCCAGCTTGTGTGGAGTGAAAATCTGCAGCCACACTGGCCCTTTGTGGATAAGACTGGACACCACTGGTGTATGCCGTTGACAGTTTTTTGAATAAAATTTGTGGAAATGTTAAAAATTGTGAATCGACAGCAATGAAAAGACTTCAGTATAGTTTGAAAGGGTGTTGTCTAAATAGCTCCTTACAACTGTAACTTACTTGTAACAAGAACATTTGTCTTAAAAAACAAAGTGACCATTTACAACCATTACAACCATTGCATATGGGTACAAAAAACCCCTGAAACATTTGGCTTCTCTTGCACACACCCTCTAGCCAGAGAGGTTCTTCCTTAGCAGTTCTCCTAAAACAGGTTACGATCACTTGTCTATGTGTATACAGACAATATCCAAATATGGAACTCATGTTAATGCCAAATGCAAACAGGGCCATTGGATCATGCATGTTGCCTTTACGTGCTTCTTCTTTATCATTTGCTCATGAATTAGATTAATTTTCCCATTTTAAGGACTTATTAGGGTTTTTTTCCATTATTTTTCTTATGGATTGATTGATTGATTGATTGTTAGTGATAAACAATATTGTTAATAACATTTGTTGTTGTTTTATAAATAAGTGTTAAATATAAGACCAGCTAATTAGACACAATGTCTTTCTAAAATATTCACCCAAAGTTATATTTAAACCTTATGTAAAATAAATAATGCTGATGTATTTTCAGTACGTGTGACCCTTGGTTCTGCTGAACTAACACTCTGCCAGCTAAAATCACCAGGAGACAGAGGTGGCACCTCTGATCATAAACTGATCTCAGCGTGCCTACCCGAAGAACCACAGTCTAAATAAAATAGGATGAGCACTCCCAAGATCACTTAAAATATCACTACAGTATAGTTTTGTCATGTCACATGGGCTTACTTTACAAAGTACTACTTCTTTATAGTTCACCTCCTGAGAGAACTTCGAGAGCATGCTTGTCGCAGTGAGTTTGTAACAAAAAACAACAGTTACCATGCTAATAAAAAAATTATAAAGAACATTAATAACGAAGGAAAGATAATGCAGAATGCAAAAATAATGTTTGGCATAATGCACTCTCTTTATTTATAGTACCACATGTTGCAAGGTGATGAAATGTAAAGTTATTAATGTGTGGTTTCAGGTTGTGGAAAAATATATGTGAATGTCTAAATTTACTGTACCAACCTAATTAATGCTGAGTTTTGAAATTATAAATTATTTTTTATTTTTTGCTGGTCAAATGATGTAAAAGTCTCTGTTTATTTCAGTGTTAAGTAACACTGTCAAGTAAAGAGTGTATAGTGTAAAATGTGTCTGGGGGAAAGTTGGCGGGAGCTTGCTCAGTAACTCTAATGATCAAGTTTAAATAATATGCCACCTGACTTGTAAGCAGTGTGCATTGTTTAACAGAGACCCTCCATCAATTACAAAATTTGGAGCATAGTGATCTGGGAAGATCTGGTCATGACTGCACTCTAAACAGTTACTGCAATTTCACAGTAAATATAAAAAGATTAGTTTATTAAGTTATGGTATTGTGTTATATTATTGCATTATGCTGGTAATTATGGAAGCTAGTGGCCATTCTTAATAGTTCACTTTATGTTCTACAGTAAGTTTCCATAAAACTGAAATGTCCCAGAATTCCCAGAAATCTCTAAAATAGTAAGATGGAAGTACTCAGGATGATGTTTCAGATTCTGCAACATGAACACAAAATACGCTACATTTCCTAAAAGAAGTTTGTATAGGTAAGAAGATAAGTATGTAAAGTTTAAAGGCGTTAGGCATAATAGAAAAGTCAGATAATAACAATAAGGTGGATTAGTTTGATTTTGATTGTGTATAAGTTGGAGGTGGAGTCAGTGACTCAGTAGGTTGATGATGTGTGTAGTGCTGCAGTTATCTGTAGAGGTTAGTTATCTGCGCCCTCATGAGTCAGCATTGCCTGGGCTCTCTGAGTAGTGGATCCAGACACCTGCCCTGGTTGCACTTTGTTGAGTTTTAAGGTGGCTGTAAATGTCACTTGTAGCTGTGAAGAATAAGGTACTGGCAACTAAACTGACTTTCAGATCAGGTACTAAAATTTATCACTTTGGTTGTGTTGCAGTTAACTTCTTAGCTTTTTTTATTTTGTGTTTTTTTATTTTTGTTTTGTTTCTGTTGCTGTGCACAGAAGTTGTATCATTTTGATTTCTTCACCTCTTGAGACTCCATCTTTAATAATAGTTTACCATCTCTTGTTTGTTTGTGTTGTTTGTGCAGGTATGCCGATGTCCCATGGAGGGCCTACGTCTGGCCCGTGTCCCACTCCAGCCATGCAGACACATGCTCAGAGCACGGGGCCAAAACCATGGGCCGAGGGTGAGTCTTGTCATCTCTTTGAAGTCAGAAGCTCTTATTTTGAACTAGGGCATCTATATTTCACCCACATTGGAATTCTTTCTGTTCACTGCTGATATTTCTGCTCTGATGTTGCTTCAGAAAATGCTGAACCCAAAGTGTCCAAGACCCTCTAATATTTATGCAGTGCTTGAAACTTGGGTAACACTTTATTTGGAGTACATTATTTACCTTAAGTATGTTACTTACATTATGCAAAACCTAACGTTACCCAACCTTACCTGAAACCTAACCCTGACACTGGCCCTAATCCTAACCCTAACTTTAACCCTAACCCAAAACCTAATCCTAACCCTCATGTTTTTTATATGTTACTGAGAGTCCGTTGAGTGTTTGATTCATCTAAACAGGACCACTCAAAATAAAGTGTCACCAAAACTATAAAATATAATAAAAAATCCTAAATGTCTGCAAACGTTCTAATAGCTGGCCAAACCTCTAGCCACTGTGCTGAAATGGATTATAGAGATTGTACCAGCAGAAAGTCAGTGCATTTGAAGCACTGCATTTTAGGGCGTAATGCAAACAAGGCTTTATTACATTTGTACAGATACTTCTAAATTAACCTCACTGGTATCTCTTCACTGTATCTCTAACACTTATTTCAGGTCAAGGTGCTGAGGCCCCTGCTGGCCCCCAGAAGCTTCCTGTCCCAGCCCCAAGCGGCAGACCTTCTCCTGCCCCTCCCCAGGCTCCCACAGCCCCCCAGCCCATTCCCAGCACTTCTCTCACCCCACAACCTCAACCCCCAGCCCAGCCTCAGCCACAGCAGCAACCACAGCAAGGTCCTGGTCAGCCCTCCCTCATTATCCAGCTCCAGCCGAAACAGAATCGCATCACCCCGATCCAGAAGCCCCAGGGTCTGGACCCTGTGGAGCTCCTGCAGGAGCGAGAGTACAGGTATGGTGCACGTCTCTCAGATGTTTAGTTCTTTGCAGCTTGTTAAAAAGTTTTTCCTCCAAACTGTGTCGTCACCATTTTCTGCTGTTGGTGTGTTTAGAGCTGACCTCTCACTGTGAAAGGACAGGTAGAGATCTCATATGAAGTTTTTTTTTTTTGACGGGAACAATCCTCTTGTCTGACACAGACACCTTTGGGGTGCAAGTTTTACTTTTTATCTGTCTTTGACTGTCCTAAATTTTAGTATTTTACTGAATAAATTAGCAAACAGATTTAACAGGCAGTTAAATCTGATTGTTTTTCACATATCCACTTCGTGTGTGCTCTTTTCTTGAAGTCAGAGTTCCAGACAATGACATTTTAACCAGATCTTTTCAACTCTAAATTGGCCCTGGTTCATTCACAGTCACAATTATTGCAGGAAAAGATCACATACTCGTCACAGTGTGGCCAAACCTAAAAATCCAGTCAAAAGAAAAATGAACAATAATCGAATTTAATTCTGCTCAGGCTAAAGGGCTGCTTTACTGAAACAGGCACTAATTGCTAAGAGTCTGCCGACACTTTGCACCAACAGTGGTGGCCAACCTTGGTGGTTATACACTAAGAACTTCCATGCAAATGAACTCACACGCAACTTTGTATTTAATATATGACGTCATCAGGTTGAAATATATCTCATTATTTTAAATTTGTCAAAAGTCAAAATAATGACTTAGTTGGAAAAAAATATTACTCCCTGAGAAAATATGTGATTATTTCAACTCCATCAGTAATTATTTTGAGAAGGTAGGACATTAATTCACCAGAAATTCAAGGAAATTGAGTGATTCTTCTTTACTTTATGTTTTGAAACATGTTCATTTTTGGCTGGTGGGATGAGCTGAATTTTAGTTCTGTGCTGAGTGCCTTTAGAAACTGTGCAGTAAATCAAAGAATGGCTGTGACTTTTAAGCCACTTGCACACATAAACCAAAGCACACAGAAGCCATAGCGTGCAGATTGTGCACGTTAACAACTGCTTGGAAAAGAAAACTGCCAAATCATTATTTAGACAAAACCTGTTATTTGATAGTGTTGTTAAATATACCCCACATATTGCAAAAAACAGTTTAAAACACAGATTTTCTACTATTTACGTTGGATTTTACTTCCTTCACCAAATTAGGAATAATGTGGCATGCATGGCAGGCATTTGCAAGTGTTTTTTTTTCCAATGAATTAAATAAATAAAACTTTGTCTTTTCTATCTGAGCACGACAATGACAGCCAATATAGTGGTAAAAATAAGACAAGCTTCTCTCTGGCTTTAAATAGCACAGAGTTAGTATGTACTACCTGTCTTGGTTGATTAAAGTAGGCTTCATTATAATAATCCCCTTCCAGTATTTTGCACTTTGAGAAGGAAACTCATGTAAATGCATATGAAATAAGGCAAAAATGCAAGAGAGCAGCAACCTCCCCATTCATCTTTTTATAGTTGTTTAAATTTTTCAAGTTGATATTTGATGACATACTTATTGTATTGGAATAGCAGAACATTTAGGTGATGCTGGGTTATTGTGCTAAAATATTTGCGTTCAATTCTTTTTTACTACATTTTTACCCTACAAATACATCTTATATTCTTCCGTAATGCTAATCCAGGTAGATGTAGTGTCAACTTCTACATTTTTAAAAAATGTTTATATATTGGCATTAATATCAGCATCGGCAGATACGTACATGAAAAATATTGCATATCGGCATCTGCCAACAATTCCCATATAGGTGCGCCCGTATATATATATATATATATATATATGCCCTTTAATGGTAAATTACAGGTGCTATAGCAGCATGCTCCTGTGATTTGTAGTCGTTGCAGTCTTCTCTTTTCTTTGGAGAAGTGTTAAACCTGTCTGTAAAATTAAAATGAAGTAAAATGAATCTTCTGGAATATGAAGACAACAAAAATTCTACCTGATGAGGAATAAGAAACATTGACACAGACATGGACCAGTCTCAGAAACCAAGCAAGGCTTTGATTCCCAAAAGCTTTGTGGAATAATGAGCATCATTATGGAACAGTGAATGTCATTATCATATTTGCCCTCTTTGACATAATAATTTTGTTCTTGGTTAGTAATTCAAGCTGGATTCGTTTTACCTGGGCAGGTACTGTAATTTGAGTGGTCTATGAATTTCATGCAGTGGAAATCTGCCATGTCCTTAGTTACTTTTGCCAAGTAACAATTTAAGAGTGAATTACCTTGTATAAGTCATCAAACTCTGAGCTTCTTCAGTAATAGCAGCTTTTTAACCTTTTCGAACCCATCTCACTGTGATGTAATAACAAATCTTGGTAATGGGCATCAGCACATCTGTTTTTGGCGAGTGGAAGACGAGGCTAACTGCAAAAATGGATCTCGACTTGGCACAGTTCCTTTATCCTCAAATTCGAAACAAGTAACTGTGATCTAAATCTGTTGATGGGCTATTTAGACATATAAAGACAATGAAAATGAAATATCTGGAAGTCCCATACACATCAGCCAGTCGAATCTCTCACAAATTACATCATCTGACCTCCTCTGGAAAAACTAATCCAGCTTGAATAGGGCTTAAGAGGAAGAGGAAGTATCTTTGATGTTTAACAATCTAGAAGGCAATGCACCAAGCTTTTACCAAGAAATAACACTCAACAGTGGCATAACTTGATGATACCTTGGTATAAAGGAATGGGTTCAACACAACAAAATGTGATGATAAAAATTAATATAAAGTTATTTATGGTCCACATTATGAGGCATATCTGGTATAACAGTTCGAACATCGGTCATAATATAAACCACTACTGATTTCGGAGTGGACTCTGACAGAGAGACATGGTCAAGAGTCTGCTGACCAGTAGATTAAACTTAATAGAGGTGACAATGATACGAACAATATATTGCAGCTCTAAATTGAATTTTGAGAAAATCTTAAGTTATTAAGGCTACTTTAAACAACATTTGTTTTGTTGTTGAAATAAGTTCACATGAGATGTTGAGATGATTTATTCTCACATATCAGAATGTCAAGCTATGGAGTGTGAAATATTGCTCTTTCTCTCTTTTCTCTCTCTCTATCTGTCTCTAAATTAAATCAAGTCTATCTCCTTTATGTATCTTTTTCTAAAGGTTGCAAGCCAGGATTGCCCACAGAATTCAAGAGCTGGAGAACTTACCAGGTTCATTGCCACCTGACCTGAGAACTAAAGCAACAGTCGAACTGAAAGCCTTGAGACTGCTCAACTTCCAGCGACAGGTAAAGTTTAGAGACTTTGAAAAAGTTGCTGCTTTGAGCAGATTGTGTTACATATTTAATGTAGGAAAGCTCACATCATCATATTGGGAGTTGAGGTTCACTCGTTGTTTGAAACAAGACAGTGATGACAAAAAGTATTACTGCTTTAATCACCTCAGTTCAGTGTCCTACAGTTCTCCTGCTCTGCACATTTTGATGTTTTCCTGGTGGTAACTGAGCTGAGTCAGGTCTCTTCAAACCATTAAATGTGCAAAGCACAGGTTCTTCAGGGCTATGATTGAAAAATGTCATCCTTATTTTTTAATCGTCCCAAGATCTCCATTAGGGGGTGCTCTTACTGCATGTTTAAGACTTTCTTAAACCCTCTTTACATTAGTGAGTGTCTCTGTCTTAAAATCAGGCACTCTCACTTTACCTGGATGTGTTTGAAACAACACATGCAGTGCACTAATAATTGAAAGTATTAACAAAAATTCATGATCTCTGGCATAGATGTATTCAGTCCATGATTAATTTAGTTTGTTTAGAACAATATGACAGAAATTTTAAACTTACATCATATTAACACCAGATAACACAAAGATATGCTGCTCTTTATGTAATGTAATAAATGAAATTGTTAATAAATATAACATAAATAAACATAATGAACTGTTGTGTCCCTCAAAAGTGTTGCGTCATGTACATTCCCGCACCATCATGTCTTCATGTACGCTGCTGCACTTGTGTGTTCCTCAGCTCCGGCAGGATGTAGTGGCTTGTATGCGCAGAGACACCACTTTGGAGACCGCCCTGAACTCCAAAGCCTACAAGCGTAGCAAGAGGCAGACGCTGAGAGAGGCCCGCATGACGGAGAAGTTGGAGAAGCAGCAAAAGATTGAGCAGGAGAGGAAGCGCCGCCAGAAACATCAGGTAGAGTGCAGCAGATTTTATCACTATATTGAAACTGAGACACCAATTTTAAAACCTATATTGAAATAAAATATGTAGGGCTAACCCAAATAATTTGAATATTCAGGCTTTTTTTTGTTACACTCATATTTGTTTCTATATTTACTGTTCAGAAGCTTCATCTCAGAAATTGTAGCCTAAAATGAATTTAATTAGCAGAGGTCTTTAGATAGAACCATGATTGTTAAAATATGTAAAATGTTAAAATAGATAAAACATAGCTGATTTAGTTTAGAGTGCATCATGCTAGTTCATGCCAAGCATCACCTCGCCTCAAAGAGCAGCAAACCTCAGCGCTTTCTTTGTGGCAGTCAAAGCTGAAAGAGTGGAGATGCCTCAGAAAGAAATCACGTATGTGGGAACACCTTCAATTATCTGACGGTGATAAAATTCTTAGTGTAAAATCTGTAAAATAAGTTGTTGGTAAAAAGGTATAGAGGCATGAGAAGTTTAATAAGTTATGTCAAATATGTGAATATAGCAATCTGTATCTGAGTACTGCCATATGTCGAATCCACTACCTCCAACTCAGCTCCGTCACCTGACCACTTTAGGAGTTTGGTTTGACTTGATCTCTGTGGAGATCATGTCACTTGCATACACACGAAAAAAAGAACATCTAGCACACTGATTTAATTGGAAGCCATTCCGCCAGACAGAAAACTAAATACGCTTCAGATATTTTGGTTTTTTAAGTTTTCAAAAGAGGCCTCGGCGAAAGGACAGTGTAATTGGATATCGTTGATGAATGAAAACCAATCTGATGATGCTTAAGAAGCAATAACTGCCAGGTTGGGGAAGCTAATTTACCATTAGACAGCTTGCTAAATATGTGGGGAATTTGGGGTTCGCATTCCTGAAGCTTTACCTACCCCACAGCTCCTCTCTTTTTATTATTTCATTTTATGTTATGTTTAGCTTGAGTGCGTGGAACCGAAAATATATGCCGCTTCAGTGTGACTCGCTGTAGTGAAACAACCAAGCTAAAGAAGCTGGGTTTGACCCTAGAGCAGCTAAGTTAGCTCCAGCCCCCAAACTTTTAGCAGTAGAGAAAGTTTCTCTGTTTCCTGTTTACGGCCAGGAAACAGGATCAGAAAAAGGTAACAAATTAATGAATTAATATGTACACATAATGTTTTATTTACATTTACTGTCAAAACATTTTTATTACATTGTTATTATAAGACCTTTAAAAAGCATTTATTCCCCAATAGGGGTGTGGGAAAAAATTGATTCTTAGATGCATCGCGATGCGGACGTGAACGATTCTGAATCGATTCACAAATGTCAAAAAACGATTTTCTAAATATTTAATTTATAACGTAATGTTGACGGAATGCAAAAGGCAGAGCTTGGAAGTGCGGAACTGCAGCGCCTGGACAGTCTGTGACGGCACACAACAAAAACACTACTGGATGAGTGAGAAATCCAACCGACGCCCTCTGCATTAAAGCCAGGTTAGGTCAGGAGTCACAACACACATGATAAGAAGAGACATTTTGTCCTTTCAACAAAAATCAAACCACCTTGGGAGCCACAGCATCTAATGTCCAGTATGTCTCAGTGTGTGATAATGTCCTAGTATAGGCTAAACAGTATAAACGAGAGCGGAGATTTACTTCGCTCTGCTTTAAGCTTTAGCTATAGCCGCTTTCCTCCCATCTCCGCCAGAAAACTTTTCCTCAGACGTAGATCAGTTAAATGTCTCTCAACGTTCGACTGTTTTACGAGGCTGAAGTCGCTCCTTATTCTCCAGCTTCTTGCTCGAATTTTCCCGTTCCATCTTAAATTCTAACTGAGGCGCCGAATGTAATGCGGCACCATTTAAGGTGGAACAGGAGAATTCGAAAGAGAAGCTGACTTCAGCTTCACCATTTTTTAGTGTGTGACAGTCTCTCGTTGCAGATTTAACGTACCAGGAAACCAACTGCGCTGCTTATAAATGCGAATAACGCATCGCTGCTATGTGACCTGCAGTCTGCGCGCCGAAACAGGGCTTTCACATGCATGTTTCACACGTCTCGTCTCAGGGATACTTTGCTGACACAGTGATCCCCCCCGTCTCTACAACGAGACCAAAACCGAAGTTTTAAAATCACTAAAGAAAACGGGTAGAATAGCTGTAACATGTGCTGCGTGGACATCCACTGCCACTGGATCTTATTTCACCGTAACTGCGCATTTTATCGCAGATGAGTAGCAGCAGCTTCTCGTGCTCCAAACAAGAGCACTGAATGAGAGCCTTCTAGTTCACTTGCCACATCACTTCCATTTGTTTATTAAAAAAGATATTGGAAGTAAATTCATTATGGATCATTTCAAATACTTTGCTTTAAAAGTACCAAGTCACTTTAAATAACAACACCGAGTCACTTAGTCACTTTAAAATGTATATTGTCTCTACATTCTGTGTATATTTTGTGTATATTTAATGTATTTCAGTTGGTTTTTCTTGTATTTTTATTTTTACTTATTTACTTTCTGTAGAGTGATTAGCTGAGCCTCACCACAAGCATTTCAGTGCATAAATGTCCTGACATGTTGTGCAAATGACAAATAAACTTGAAACTTGAACTTGAAACTTGAGCTCACACAGTGAGAAAATATAAATGCTATATAGAATCTATATAATCGCATCGCAGCCCTCTGAATCGTAATCGAATCGAATCGTGAGGTGCCTAGAGATTCCCACCCCTATTCCCCAATGTCTCTGCTGTGCATTTCACTGACAAAAATTTGCAGTATTTTCTGTACAGCTTAAGTGTCCTGGTAGTTCAGATCAGTTAATTGATGAAACTTGTGAAAATATCAGAAACTACAAGGTTTTCCAAAGGCATTTATAGCTGAATTCCACAGTGCCTTTACTATAATGATGTAAAATGTAAGTATGGCTTTGGAAATTGCTTGCAATATGAAGTTTCTAAAGCAAAGAGCATTATTAGCATGTAAGTTGCCCTGAATCTGCACCAGAAGGTGCTCATGGACGCATGTGTTTGTAGTTAGCTATTATATTATATTATCTATTGAAACAATAAGTAGTTTGCAAAAGTTGTTGGATAACTCTCTATTATATCATTTATTAAGTGTTTTTTTAGACGTTTTATTAAAACATGTTTTGCTACTTCACCAGTTGTTTTGATGTTCAAAAAGGCAGATAAACTAAAAATAAAACAGAAAGTAGATTAAAGCAGACCACTTGTAGTGATTGAGGGAGTGAGAACTATAAAAATTCATGCTAATATTTTTAGATATTGCCCAAGCCTAATACAAAGCCTGTAAAATGCTACATTTGAGCCAGCCCTAAAAGTATCACACAGCAATGTGTAGCAGTTGTTTTCAAAAAGGAAATGTCTTTTTTTTTTCAGGAATATCTTAACAGCATCCTCCAGCATGCTAAGGACTTCAAGGAATACCACAGGTCCATTTCTGGAAAGATCCAGAAGCTTTCAAAGGCCGTTGCCACCTGGCATACCAATACTGAAAGGGAGCAAAAGAAGGAGACAGAGAGAATTGAGAAAGAGCGAATGAGGAGACTAATGGTACTGTATGTTGTTTTGGGACAAGGAATATCTGAATAACGTCTAAGAAAAATCTTGAATTTCCTTATAAACATCTTGTAGCTTTGCTGACTTAGGTTGTGTCATAGTTTTGTACACAGAATGCCAAAGTAAACCTGTTTGTTTGTCTTGGTCTAGGCTGAGGATGAAGAGGGCTACAGGAAGCTAATTGACCAGAAAAAGGACAAACGTCTAGCCTACCTGCTCCAGCAAACTGATGAGTATGTGGCCAACCTTACTACCCTGGTCTATGAGCACAAGGCTGCTCAGGCTGCCAAAGAGAAGAAAAAGAGGAGAAAGAAGAAGAAGGTGGGTGTTAAAATGATTCAGAAGTCCTTGACAGAATTCAGCTTCCGTTCAACTTGTTGAAAGTAAATTAATCTGAGGATTTTCTTTCTGAAGTAGTTTGGTTCAATTTAATCAGTAATGTCTGTTTTCGTTGTTGTCATTATTAAATGTGTTCTGTCCTGTCATTGACCCTCACAGAAGGAAGATGGAGATGCTGAAGGACTTGGAGTAATTGGTCCTGATGGAGAGGTGAGCAAAGCATACAAATATGGCAGACACTATTAGGAGGGCTGATTATGTGTTAATATCCAGCTGCAGTTTAGTTCAGTTAAATTCCATAAAGTAGTTTTCGGCAACATCTGCTGTTGTTAGCGCACAAATTATGTTCTGTGTTTGTTTGTTCCTGCAGCCAATAGATGAGAGCAGTCAAATGAGTGAGCTCCCAGTCAAAGTCATCCAGACAGAGACAGGGAAGGTACTACAGGGCACAGATGCCCCCAAGTCCAGCCAGCTGGAGGCCTGGCTTGAGATGAACCCTGGGTGAGATGTCTCCAATTTTTGTGTATCTCTGTATTTTGCGTATTTGTTTTGGATTTGCTGACTTAGAATCCAGTGCTACTGAGCTGTAGAATTATTAATGCGCAGAAAAGTCTTAGTCTTAGTTCACTTTTATTTATTCATGGTATCTTTTATTGTCATGTAAATTCAACTTATATATATTCGACTTACCTCTGCCTATGTGACAAAACTCTAAAGAGTGAAGAACACACTGAGATGTCTCTTTCATAGATAAACACTGAAAGTCTTCGTGTATGCAAGCTCAAGCGCTTATATTTTTCACATATATCCTTCTGAATTCAGCTATGAAGTAGCCCCGCGGTCAGACAGCGAAGAGAGTGGCTCAGAGTTTGAAGAGGAGGTGAGCGTGCTGTATTTTCCTCTCATTAAGCCTTAACAACCAAGTGAGTCATCCACACACACACACACTCACAAACATGCACAGACACACGCATGCACCTTTTGTCAATCTCCTCCCAACAACACCCATTAGCCAATTTTCAGTGCTTCATCTTAGCAAGCCTCCTTTGTTGTTCCTCCACATAATTTTTTTCACATTGTCACATTCAGTCAAGGGGTCAGATTGACATTATCTCTTCTTCTTGCCTCCCCAGGATGAAGAAGAGGTGGTCTCCAGAGCCGAATCAGAAGAAAAGAAAATCATCGATCCCAACAGCGACGAAGTGTCTGAAACTGCCGCCAAGAACATCATAGAGTATGCGGCCTATTTTCACATCAAAGCTAAAAAAGACCTCACATCTGAAGGGGGGAGGGAGGTCGGGACGATTATTTTATAATGACTGTTGTTTTGCTATGACTGTGCTTTTCACTGCTGCTTTTTGTCAGATTTTTTTTTTTTTTTCTCATTTCTTAGGTCTGCTATACCTGTTTTTTCTTCTTACCAGTTGTCTTTTCATTCTCGCACACTGTGTGATGCTCTGACTGCAGTTTGGAGAGAAGGAGTGAATGAATTACCCTGAAAATCTTAACTGAGCTTTTCTGACCATCCTGATATCACAGGATATGAGCTCACACTTCCTGCCCTTCTCCTCTGTAGGTCTGCCAAGCAGGATGTAGACGATGAGTACAGTGTCCAGGCGGGACAGACCAGTTCTCAGTCCTACTACGGAGTTGCCCATGCTGTCATTGAGAAAGTAGAGAAGCAGTCATCTTTGCTGATCAATGGGACCCTCAAACAATACCAGGTGAAGTGTAACCAAAAGCACTTTCTGCGTGTCTGTCTCTGTGAACTCTGAATATTCCTTCCCAGGATTGGTTTCAGTAATATTCAGAGGCTCTTGAGGTATTTAGACTCATCATAAAGAGATAAAATTAGACAAGAATAATGCATAATCATTGAAATCAGTAGTTTAGGATTTATCTGTAGCTTTAGAGAGAACATCAGCCCCTCCTCTGATTTCACAAGTACCTCACTGATTGGCATTTTTAAATTTGTAGTGGTCTTGGCATGGCTCATTGGACCAAGAGGAAGTTATAAAAATACTCTGATTCTATAAAATAATTGCAGAATGAAAACTTTTTAATCTGTCAGAATGTGTCAAAAGTTTAATTTCAAAAAAAATTGTCGCTCACTTTTCTGAAGTATAACAACGCATTTCTCTTCAGTTAAAAAAGTGTAATAATACTCACTTGTTCTTCGCGGTTAGATCCAGGGACTGGAATGGATGGTGTCCCTGTACAACAACAACCTGAATGGCATCCTGGCTGACGAGATGGGTCTGGGGAAGACCATCCAGACCATTGCTCTCATTACATACCTAATGGAACACAAGAGGCTCAATGGCCCTTATCTGATCATCGTTCCACTGTCGTGAGTTACAAGCTGATGGACACAACACGCTTGGCTAACACACAAAGGAGCTGTGAAAGAGATGATAAGGACTGTAATTAAAGGTTGAGATCTCTAAGAGGATTCATCTGGGCCATTAAGTATTAACACAGTGTTAAACACTGCAGTTATGGCACTGGCAGCTGAAGATCGATTATTCAAGGGAGATAAGACTATGAATATTAATAGAACACAATAAGAAGAATTTAAATGTGATAGGGTACAATTTGATGAGCCGGTGCAAGAAGTATTACGTTGAATGTTGTGTGTAGACATGTGCCGGTATTCAGTAATTCAGCAAGAGAAAGATCTTTTTAAGCACACAGTGCTCAAGCACAAGCATTCACAAGCTTCCACTATGGTTTCACTTTCTGATCGTGTGATGTATTCCATCCTGTGAGTGAAGCTTGTAAACAATCACAGTGAGTGCAGCCACTGCAAGGCAGAAGGAGCAGCAGACAGAGAATGTTTTCTCCCTCACAAAGGTGAAAGTATATTTGTAGTCTCAAACTGCATGTGTATGAAGTAGGCCTGGGTGATAGGTCACTGCAATTAAATATTTTGGGCGATTGACAGGTAATCCAGTGAAGATGCTTAAAAGGCAGTAATCACCGTGTTGAGAAAGAGAACTGATAGAGAACTAGAGAAGACTCATTTACCTTTAAACAGCTTGCTAAGTAATATTAAATAATATGTACACATCATCTCTTATTTACTTTTAATGTTTAAACATTGGGTTATTATGGAGGCTTAGAAGCCGTTAGGTTATAGTAAAGTGTGTCATACCATCTGAGAAGAACTTTCAGCATTTTCCGTAGAGCTTAAGTGTCCCAGTGGTTTAGATAAGTTAAATTATGAAAATGATTGAAATATAATATTACTTGGTTTTCGAAAGGCATCCATTGCTGAATACCAGAGTGACTCTGCAGTGACAGAAAGCATAATTTTTTAATATGTAAATATGTACGCACAGCTTTGTAATTCACTTATTTAGAGCATCTTTTGCAGTCTGACGGTTCTCCAGCAAGGGCGCTATTAGCACACAAGAGCACCTTGAATGTACACCATGAGGAGCCCATGAATGCACTTATTTGCAGTAGCAACTATTAAAATGTAGTTGAAGATTTTTTAAAAAGATGTTGGGTTATTCAGTGCTATTATTCAGTATGGATTTTTATTAAAGTAAAGTATATACTAAAAACAGAATAGAACGTAGGTCTGAGCTGCAACAGACTGCATGTATTATATGGTGAGGTGGCGGGGATATAATCTATAATTGTGATTTTTTTTTTTAACTAGATAATATCATGCTAATTAATTTTAAATATGGCTCAGCCCTAGTATGAAGTAAAAGACACAAAACAATACTGAACTTTACCTTACTTAAGAACCCAGTTTTGTTTAACAAGCAGCTCAGCAGACTGCTAATATACTAATTAACTCTGCGTTGGGCAGAGTTAGGTTTTAACTTGAAATATTTACTTAAGGATTCACTGTAAAACTGAACACACAAAAGAAAAAAAAAGTTATCTGAATATCTGTTATAGGCTTTGTCAAAAGTCAGTGTTGACTCAAGCTGTGTGGTATCAGCATGAAAAAAAGGACATGTTAGGGAAAATTCAAATACGTGTTGCACGAATTAGCATTATTGTCATTGAAAAATAAAAAAAAAAGATGTACAAAAGCAGTACTAATAAGGTTACCACATTAATCAATGTTATATATCATCATCATCGTTAACTGCTTATTGTCCAGATAGGGTCGCGGTAGCAGTTGGGAGAGCAGAGAATCCCAGATGACCCTGTCCCCTGCAACTTCCTCCAGCTCATTCCCGGGGACCCCAAGCCGCTCCCAGGCCAACTTGGAGATATAATCCCTCCAGCGGGTCCTAGGATGACCCCGGGTTCTTATTCCGGTTGGTCGTGCCTGGTACACCCCCACTGGGAGGCATCCAGGGGGCATCCGGATCAGATGCCCGAACCACCTCAGCTGGCTTCTCTCAATGTGGAAGAGTAGCGGCTCTACTCCGAGCTCTTCCCGGATGGCCGAGCTCCTCACCCTATCAAATAGAGTGTAGCCAGCCACCCTGTGAAGAAAGCTCATTTCCGCCGCTTGTATTCGCGACCTCATTCTTTCAGTCATTACCCATAGTTTATGACCATAGGTGAGGGTCGGGATGTAGACCGATCAGTAAACAGAGAGCTTCGCCTTATGGCTCAGCTCCTTTTTCACCACTACAGCCCGGTACAGCGACTGCATTACTGCTGCCGCCTGTCCCAGCCTGCGGTCGATCTCACAATCCCTCTTCCCATCACTCGTGAACAAGAGATACTTAAACACCTCCACCTGGGGCAAATCCTTTCCCCTTACCTGGAGTGGGCATGCCATCCTTTTCCGGGCTAAGACCATGGACTCAGACTTGGAGGTGCTGATCTGCATACCACCCGCTTCACATTCAGCTGCAAACCGCTCTAGTGCGCGCTGGAGGCATCCATGTGATCCAGCCAAAAGAACAACATCATCTGCAAATAGCAGAGACGCCACCCTCTGGCCTCCACACATAATGCCCTCCTGACCCCGGCTACGCCTTGACACCCTGTCCATGAATATTACAAACAGGAGTGGAGACAGGGCACAACCCTGGCAGAGTCCAGCGCTAACACTGAAAGAGTCCGACTTAATGCCGAGTATACAAACACAGCTCTCACTCCGGGCATACAGAAATTGAATGGCCCGGAGTAGTAACCCCGGCACCCCATACTCCCGGAGGACCTCCCACAAGATATCTCGGGGAACACAGTCGTAAGCCTTCTCCAAATCCACAAAACACATGTAGACTGGGTTGGCAAACTCCCATGCCCCCTCAACAATCCGTGAGAGGGTGAAAAGCTGGTCCATTGTTCCACGGCCGGGATGGAATCCGCATTGTTCCTCCTCAATCTGAGGTTCAACTATCGGTTGAAGTCTCCTTTCCAGCACCTTGGCATAGACTTTCCCAGGGAGGCTGAGCAGTGTGATACCCCGATAGTTGGCACACACCCTCCGGTCCCCTTTCTTGAAAATAGGGACCACCACCCCGGTCTGCCAGTCCAAGGGTACTGTTCCCGAGGTCCATGCACTATTGCAGAGGCGTGTCAGCCACGACAGCCGCACAATATCCAGAACCTTAAGCATCTCTGGACGAATCTCATCCACCCCCGGTGCCTTGCCACTGAAGAGCTTGCCAACTACCTCAGTGACCTCCACCAGGGAAATGGAGCTTGACACGCCAGAGGCCTCTGGCCCTGACTCCCGTGAGGGAGGCATGTCTCCCGGATTAAGGAGTTCCTCAAAGTGCTCTTTCCACCGACTGACAATATCCTCATTTGAAGTCAGAGTTTCTCCGCCCCTGCCGAATACAGCTTGGGCGCAGTCACCCCGACCGCTCCTGAGTCGCCGGACAGTTGTCCAGAACCTCCTCGAGGCCGACCGAAAGTCTTTTTCCATAGTTTCACCAAACTCCTCTCACGTCCTCGATTTTGCTTCTGCCATTGTTGCAGCTGCCACCTTTTTTGCCTGTCGGTACCTATCTGCTGAATCGGGAGTCCTTCGGGCATTCCGGTCCCTAAAGGCCTCTTTCTTCAGCTTGACGGCCTCCCTCACCACCGGTGTCCACCAGGGGTTCTTGGGTTACCGCCCTGACAGGCACCAACAAGCTTTCGGCCACAGCTACGCCTGGCAGCTTCCACAATGGAGGTTTTGAACAGGGTCCATTCAGACTCTATGTCCCCTACCTCCTCTGGGACATGAGAAAAGAAAATGTTATATAATGATATGTTTAACACGTTCATAACAATAACAAGGCAGGATATGCCTTGTTATGCTTGCTACATTACAGGTCTTAGTAGTATGTTCCATGCTTTGTTTTATGATTCACAGCTCTTTGTAAAAGCCTCAGTGCCTTGTGTGTCCTAACTGTAAATAGTGCTGAATAATTATAATGTGAGCTTCATTAAGTGGACAGTTTTTTTAATTTTCATTTTTAGTGTAAATTTTATTGCACATTTTGCAGATGTATTTTGCTTTTAAAAAGAATGCATTCAGAACATATTTTTATGGCATTCAAAACTCATCTAGAATGATGCCTTTTTTGTAAAGACAATATTGGGATAACATAAACCATAATAAAATTATGGTAGTTATTGTTATACATTTTTATATAAGCACATGCCTAGCTGCGGGTAACATGTTACATGAAAACAAGAGTGACTTGATTCTTTAATTTATTCTTTAAATTGTATCATTATTTCATACTTTATTTTTTATTTTTCCATGAATAAGACATATTAAGGTTTCCCTTTTGTATACTATATCAGGAAAAACATTATTTTTTTGATTTGGCTTACATCAAGATGCAAATTGTGTCATGCCCTAAGTGTATTTTCTCATGCCTGTTGTGTGCAGAGATGATTTCTTACTCCCACATGAAAGAAACCCCCGCGTTAAAATGACTTAAGTCAGTCTTTATTCATGGATCATTGCCCTTCTATTATAACGTTGGAGACTTGCCGTCTTTGTGTGGCACACGCTGTGAGGAATGCAAGCTGTGAGCAGAAAGTCAGAAAAAAACTCAGTATGATGCGTGACAAAATAGAGAAGGAGATTCAAGCTAATAACCCTATGATTGCTCTGTCTGGGAGCGCGAATCACATTCTGAGCTGTCTCTCACTTCACACAAATCCCTATTAACTTTGACCCCATAGTCGTCCTATGCACACAACTTTTTTACATGCTTACTAAAAAAAAAGTTTTTTCTTGAAATGATAGTATTGATTTTTTTTTCTTTCTTTTGCATAGGACCTTGTCCAACTGGGTTTACGAACTTGACAAGTGGGCACCATCGATTGTTAAAATTGCGTACAAGGTCAGCACTGAATTTGCGTTTCTGTGGATGACTGGAAATATTATATAACACTTAGAGAATTACCAATAAGTGATGTGGCTTTTGTGTGGGTTTGTTTTTGTGAAAGGGCACACCGTCCATGCGGAGGTCTTTGGTGCCACAGCTTCGCAGCGGAAAGTTCAATGTGCTCCTCACCACCTACGAGTACATCATCAAAGACAAGCACATTCTCGCTAAGGTAAAAGCCTTCTGGCACAGAGCACTCCATGGAAGAAAAAGCTCCTTTGACTATTTTCTGTTTGAAAAGGAAGCTTGCAGTCTCTCTTTATTTCTCCCTCTCTCTCTCTCTCTCTCTCTCTCTCTCTCTCTCTCTCCATCTCTCTCAGATTCGCTGGAAATACATGATTGTTGATGAAGGCCACCGTATGAAGAACCACCACTGCAAACTGACCCAGGTGTTAAACACCCACTATGTGGCTCCACGGAGGCTGTTGCTCACAGGGACCCCCCTGCAGAACAAACTACCTGAGCTCTGGGCCCTGCTCAACTTTCTGCTGCCCACCATCTTTAAAAGCTGCAGCACTTTTGAGCAGTGGTTCAATGCTCCTTTTGCCATGACTGGAGAAAGAGTAAGACCTCCCTCTTACATTGAGACCAAATTGTTTTAAATTAGGAATTTACTTGATGAGTAATTAATTTTTAAATAATTCATGTTTTGTATTAATAGCTTAATGTATTGGAGGCTAGAGAAGAAAGTGGATCCTTGAAATTGTTGATAGAATAGACAAATATCACATTCTCATTATAATTTGAACGTAGATCAGTAATATACCTGTTGGGTCACGTTTGACAGGTGGATCTGAATGAAGAGGAGACCATCCTGATCATTCGCCGTCTTCACAAAGTGCTCCGCCCCTTCCTGCTGCGTAGACTGAAGAAAGAAGTGGAGTCTCAGCTGCCTGAGAAGGTGATGGGTTGCTCAATTAGCACTGTTTTTGTTTTGTTTGCAGTCTTGTTTTACACGTCAAACTCAGAACCTTCCTTCAGTTTGACCAGGCAGTAGACTAACCAGTTGTAACGTTTGCTTAAATCCCCTTTTGTATCCAGGTGGAGTATGTGATTAAGTGTGACATGTCGGCTATCCAGAAGGTTCTCTATAGGCACATGCAAGGCAAAGGAATCCTGCTTACAGATGGCTCAGAGAAAGACAAGAAGGTAAAAGAAGAAAAGATCCATAGAGCTTTACTTTGTTCTGGTTGCTGGTTTGACAGCATAACCTATTGTGTCTTAATGTTCCACAGGGTAAAGGAGGAGCAAAGACCCTGATGAACACCATCATGCAGCTGAAGAAGATCTGCAACCACCCTTACATGTTCCAGCACATTGAAGTTAGTGGCAGCTGCTAAAATAAAAGAGAATCATTTTGATCTCCTGCTGAAATGTCAAGTGACTTCAAATGTCTTATACTTGGTAAGCCTGGTTGATTTTACACTGTATTTTTTCTTTCCCCATTAAGGAGTCGTTTGCTGAGCACTTAGGCTACCCAAATGGCATCATAAACGGGTGAGCAGTCCTTAAATTAAACCAACTCTTGCATAACCTTTAAAATGACCAAAAGGGATTAGTTATGACCTGATTCATATGTGGGTCACAAAAACCTTCATCTTCTCACACTGACAGACTCTGGGGGTGTGCTGTGGCATTGTGAAACATTTTTACTCTTTTTCTCCTCCCAGTCCTGACCTGTACCGAGCTTCAGGAAAGTTTGAGCTGCTGGACCGTATCCTGCCTAAGCTGCAGGCCACCAGCCACCGAGTCTTGCTCTTCTGTCAGATGACCTCCCTAATGACCATCATGGAGGATTACTTCGCGTACCGCAACTTCCTCTACCTACGACTAGATGGTGATCATTTTCAGTGCATAACCAGTGTTATTATTTAATAGTAAATCATGAGATAGATAATAGTCTACAGTTTAAGGAGTTAAGAAGCCTCAGTTTAAAGGGTTAAGTAGAATCTACAGTGAAGAACTGTTGAAGAACATCAAAGAACATCAGTGCTTATGCTCAGTACACCTTCCTTACATTCAAAATTCATACATGCAAACTTATCACCTTTTGGTGAAATTAATTGTTTTGAATGAATTTGCCATTCATGTGAATCATGTAGATTTAAAGAGTTTTTAATTTTAGACAAGGAAAGTCTGCTGTCAACAGAGAATTTTGAGAGAGAATCCCTCCTCTCCCCGAAACACAGCACATAACCGCAACGAGAGCATAGCAACTGTCTTCAGATTACATGGAAAGTGGCAGTCATCGAAGTCCAAGCACAACAAGCCTTATTGAGCCAGAAGAACACAATAGATGAGCAAAGGTTTTAGAATGAGATGTCTGTCGAATTTTGTACACACTGACCTTTTGACATGGTATAGTAAGCGACAGGTTTTTAAAAAATACAACAAATTACCTGGAAAACAGTACAATATTTGGACATGACTTGTAGTTGCTTAGTTGTTAAACTGAATGAACTAAACAATTCCCCAGCAGTTATTTGTATTTTAGTGTCAGGGTGCACCAGAATTTCGTTTTAAAATCTCTAGGAACAATTCTGCTGAACCCTTCTACAAGAGATTGGTGTCTGAACTTGTCACCTTTTTCACTCCTCATGTCTGAAAACTACACAAGCAATACTTTACCAAGTGACAAGGGGGAAGAAAACAGTCAACGTCTCCATGACATACCATATCCCTGTTCCATAGCCAGTTCAGCCAGACAAAACTGCTTGTTTGTTTTCTGTCGCGTCCCATAGGAACGACTAAGTCTGAGGACCGTGCCACACTGCTGAAGAAGTTTAATGATGAGGGCTCACAATATTTCATCTTCCTGCTGAGTACCAGGGCAGGCGGCCTGGGCCTCAACCTACAGGCTGCTGACACTGTTGTCATCTTCGACAGTGACTGGAACCCCCACCAGGTCTGTCTCTGACAACCTCTGAGAATTAGTGAGAATTAGTAATTACTGAGAATTAGAGACTCTACACTGCAGCAAACCTGATGAGTGGCATGTTTAGCTAGATGCTGGAGGCAGTGTAACCTCACTCATTTATAAGCGGTGCTCTTATGAGCTACATCCTAATGTCGTCCTAGTGGTTTTGAATGAAAGTTGGGGAAAAATTGCAGAGTGTGAGGATTATTTTCATTCAGACTTGGATGAGAGGGATTTCAACATGATTTTTCAGATTTGGTACACCTGGAGTTCAGATATCCTCATGTGGTCTTACAGCGGACAGCTTTAGCCAATTATTCATGGATATTTTATTCAAAAAATGTTGCTCTGGTTCTGAAATATTTAGATCCCCTCTTCAGGATGCTGCATATTAGCCTTACAGAATTGCTGAATGCATATCAGCAAATCTTTTCTGAATCCTTACCTCTTTTTCATAGCATTTAACTCATTGAAAACATGACTCTCCAGGACTTGCAGGCTCAGGATCGTGCTCACCGGATTGGGCAGCAAAATGAGGTGCGTGTCTTGCGTCTCTGCACCGTCAACAGTGTGGAGGAGAAGATCCTGGCTGCTGCCAAGTACAAACTCAACGTGGATCAGAAAGTCATCCAGGCCGGCATGTTTGACCAAAAGTCCTCTAGCCATGAGCGCAGGGCTTTCCTGCAGGCCATTCTTGAGCATGAAGAAGAGAACGAGGTAGGTCTGCAGAAAAGAGCTAGTTTGGCTTGTTTGACTTTTGTGATCAATAATATACATACCTCCACTAACTTCTGTTAAAATCAAAATGGAGAGAAACTGAGTTTATGCACAGTGTTGAGAAAACTTCACCCAAACAAGACACCCAAAAACACCTCGACTTGCTGCCTGAGTATTCCACATTTCTCATTTGCAGACAGTTCTTTCAGGTCAGTTGGCAGCTCTGTTCAGCTTTGCTGAACTACTTCTTCTCTGCTCTTTTGCTAAATTATCAAAGCTACTTACTTTCAGCACTTTCAGTGCACATGCTGAAGCTCAGCTGCATTTGGATAGCATTTTGTTACAATAGAACACTGAACTAAGGATAGATAGCACAGATGCTTTGTTTATAAGCATGAAATCAGTCTAAATACAGCAAAATACTGTATTGCACTCTCAGAATCTGGGACTTGTGAGAATTGTCAAGATAAAACATTTAGTGATTGGTTTGAGAGCTTGTGCATTGTGCAGCCCTGTCCGATACCATAGCTATTGAAGAAAATGCTGTTGCTTCGACTTCATCGTAGCTCACAGTATATTGTGTTTGAGTTGCAGTGAAACGAGGATAATCAGTCCAATCCTCCAAGGTCCTCACAAATGTTCAATTCAGCCTTTCATTATACTACCTGATTTCATCAGTGAACTCCATAACAAAGAACACAACCAACTTATAGTGATGAACCAATCTGGTTTACTAGATTGGTATGGTATCGGCACCAATACTGACCTTATTAAATGGATAAGATGTCAGCCAAAAGAGACTGATCCACTGTCGAAGCTGTTGGCTAGACAAAATTGAGTGTTATTCCAAAGTGTGATACATTTCAAATTCACACTTTGTATTTTTATTAATGAAGCTAAATGCTGTATATACATCTAATAACATATTGGAATAAAATTCCTTGTTGTGCATTTTTATCAGTTTAATGTAGGCTTAAAAAAATTTAATTGTGAAGTGTCAGATGTTACAGTGTTTTTGAGATATTAAAGTGGTAATGTAGATCTTGTCTCATAGGGATGTTAAGTGCTTCCGATTTGCAGTGCTACTTGTAGAGTGTCCTGGATTCCTCAGTTTGCTAGGAGTGATTGAGCCACATTAGAAAATCCCCTCTCACCCTCATTTCAGCCATGAGTCTGGAGCCCCACTTTATATAGAAACAGAAGATTGGATTGTAAATAAACTTGTAATTCTCAGTTTCTTTGAATTTGAGATATAGTCTTATTGGCCGATGTCCTGAGTTAAGGTATCAAAATCAGTGTGGGGAACAGTGCGTCCCTCCACATTAGCAGTACCAGGAGGGATTATGCTGGGTTGGGATGAATACCCAAAGACATTGCCTTCCTTCTAGCATAGCGTTGAGATGCTTACAAATGCTGTCAGCATGCACCGTGTACATGTTTTGACTTTCACGGTCAGAATTATACCATAATTTAGCACATTAATTCTCAGAATACATGAATAATTTCTGAAATTAACTTTTTCATAGCCTTTTACAGTTATACTTTGCGTGTTCAGTGGACAGCACGGCTAGCAAAAATTGTATGTAACTTCAGAACTGCAAGAGTATTTGACCAGTAGAGTGTGCTCATAAAACACGATACCACTCAGGGAGCAATACTTCCACCTTCAGCATTCAGCAGAGAACGCTGCATGGCACAAATGACCTGAAACTCTTTGGAACAGTTGTGAAAACAAGTATGTTGTGCATTTTGTTATCTTGTCACAGCAGTTTGCACAACAAATTACAGTTCATCATCTCTCTATCAATATTTGCCTATGAACAAGCAGCATTCAGCTGTGACACAGAGGCCGGTTTCCGATCGATTCTGGCTGGATGAGAAACCCTGCAATTTTATTTGTATAAACTGACAGCAGTAGAAAGGGGCTTAAATATTTGTTTGTCTCCACAAGTTGGTGCTGCTGTCAGGCCCCGTTTTATCAATTACCAACATTTTTCCTACTGATTTTAAAGTAGTACTATGTAAGAGTTTTTGTTAAAATTTAAAGTAGCAGCATTACTGAGTCAGGAGAATGCGAAAATAAGATGTATTTGTGCTGCTGCAAATCAATGTAAATCTGTAAAGTCTAAAATAACAATGTAAAAGTCAGAGGTGTCAGGTTGCATTTCGCAGGAGTTTTCTAGCCACTTTGTATGTCTTTACATACTACCGTCAAAGTCACAGAGTCAAATAGATGGTCCTGCTTTGCATTTAGGTCTAAAATGCAATATCAACATTATACTGATGAAGATATGATGACAGAAGTAAATAATGTACTTACTACATCCACAGAAAACATGTCCTTCACCACATAGTTGTCAGTGGCTCTAGCAATAATTCAGAATTAAAGTACATCTATTTTAAAAAAGGTAAAGACATTATTGCTAGAGATTATAACACTGGCCTGTCACAATTGTGAAATTTTAGCTGACGATTAATTATTATATAAATAATAGCAAACAATTGAATTGTCTTTTTAATTCGTTGTATGGAACGTATAAAGTGCAAAGTACAATTTGGCTGATTAGCTATCTTGCTTCCTAGTTGTCAATATTTAGTAGACACCAGACACAGTTCAAGCTTGGATAATCACTTACCCCTCTAAATGTATTAAAGTTTAAAATCAGAATTTAGAAGTTTTGTTGGATTTGTAAGACCCATGATGTGTCTCAATCCGTTTTTGCTTACTTTTCATTTATATAACACAACTAAACACATAATTTCATTTATATAACACAACTAAACACAACTGTAATCGGGTCAAATAATTGTCATAATGCGATTATGTAGGCCTAGTAGCACCCTTGCTTCAGTGTCATATTCTGTTGGTTTTCATTTCTGTTCAACATTGTTAAAGTGAAAACTGAATATTGAAGCTTTAACCACCACGTTTTTGACCAATTCAATTAAATGTTTATATATGTTTCAGGAGGAAGATGAAGTCCCAGACGATGAAACACTAAATCAAATGATTGCCCGTAATGAGGAGGAATTTGAGCTTTTCATGGTAAGCATTACATGATAGTCATCTTTCCTCTATTATACCACATCATTTTATACTCCTCAGTTCTTTAGGCCAGTTTAGAAAGCTTTTGGAGACGAGACACAATGAGGACAAATCTTGTTTCTCCAGCGCATGGACCTGGACCGGCGCCGCGAGGATGCCCGTAACCCCAAGCGTAAGCCTCGTCTGATGGAGGAGGACGAGCTGCCGGCTTGGATCATCAAAGATGACGCTGAGGTGGAGCGGCTGACCTGCGAGGAAGAAGAGGAGAAGATCTTTGGCCGCGGATCACGCCACCGCAGGGATGTTGACTACAGTGACACGCTGACCGAGAAACAGTGGCTGAGGGTAAGATTTTACTTATTGCCACATTTTACCTACTTTTACAAATAGTGCCACAAGTCTAAGTGCTTAATTGATATTGTGCAGATATAACAGCTTTTTGGTGAACTGTTAGCCTGTCCTGGCAACACAAAGTCTTTAACTTACCATATTGGGCAGCCTGTGTAGGTCTGTGTAACACTTGAGTGAACTCTGTAATTAAGTAATTGACTTCCCACTCTCACTGTTTCTGAGGGTGACCGGCGGTAAAGAGAACGCGGTGAATGTAGTAAAAGTTTTCTAAGGGAAAAAAACAGCAGATTAACTGTATTTGACTCTTTTGACAACATCCACAACCAAGTTCTGTGTCACACAGTCTTGCTATCTTTGTTACTTCAAGTGAACTTAAATAAATATCACAGGCAGTCAGTGTCTATTTTGACTTACTTTTAAATCTGTTTAGGCCTGAACTTCTCTACAGCGTCTCTGCACAGCAATGTCAAGAGCAGAGTTGTGAAGAACAACATAAATTAGTCAGGCAACCACAACACTCTGTCTTTTCACGGCTGGTGGGGCTAACCAAGAAGTTAGCCCCCGTTCATGCTGCCTGCTCGCACTGAACAGGCGATCGAATGCCTTCTTCAATTAATCTCCAACACTGAAAAAACTACCCAATCCGATTTTCGCTACTAACAAGCTTATTCCCGATTTCTATGGCTCACCTGCTCTTTCCTGACACACAAACCCCTCTGAGATGCCAGCTCACGTCCTCACTGCCCAATCCACTCCAAGCTGCAATTGCACATTCTCATTTACACTGACAAGGCTAGCTGATTCACTAGATGATAATGAGGTACAGCAACGCTCCTGAAAACTAGTCCCAGGCAGGGAGCCCTGAGATTAGAAGTGTCTTAAGGTAACAAGGACCAAGCTCTAGCACAAAGAGCGCAAGGTCTGGAAAAAATTGGTATGATGGTTAATGTGTACAGTGCCTAACTGAAGAGAGAAAAAAAGGAAGTGGATGTAGGCCTGAAGTATTCGTTCAGGGTGTTTGACATGCTGCAATCTGATTTGCTTTAGCTTTTGCTGAAACATTTTACGAGGGGGAGAGAGCTTTCCATTTCAGCTGCTGGTACCTAGATAACCTTGTTTTTACTGCCGGATGATGTGCAGTTTAGAATTGCTATTGTCATCATGTTTCATGCCTTGGTGCTAATGAAATATTCTTAATTCTTCACTGAACTCGAAGGATCAACATGGAAGAAGTTTGCATTAAAAGGAAGCTGTTACTTTCCACCAAACATCTTTTGTAGCTGCTGCTGGAAATCGTCATTCAAATTTGCTTTTACATGGGGAATTATGAATGAATGTCTTTACATCTACATGGCTCAGTGGCTCAACAAATTGCTTTCAGTGCATGAATGGGTTCAGTAAACAATTGACTGTGTTGCTGCAAGACGAAGTCAGTAGATTGTTTTTCAACCTTAGGGGACATTGAAGTACAATCTAAAAGCTAGATAGCAGATTAAACGCTCAGTATCATTGAAGGCTATGTGAGCACATAAGTCACACAGTTTAGGTAAGTAAAAATGGAAGTGCTGTAGATCCAACTGATTAGCTCTTAGGATTGATTGGTGCAGCCACTTACTGTCCACAATACCACATCAAAGGTCCTATATAGTACCTCTTTTTTCCCTTTAAAAAATTAAGAAATGTTTGTGTGGTTTCATAAAACAACAGTTTTGTCTGAACTCTTTGCACCTTAACATGGGTCACACTTTTTTGTTAATAGGCCTTTGAAGGAATAGCGAAAAATCAAATTTACACAATTTTCCAGTTACCTTGGATGTAATTGATCAGTTAAGACATATTCGGAATCCAAATTTTGCTTCTTTATACTCCAGCTCTAATTTAATGTTGCTAACAAACACTAGAACTCAGTAGTCACCCAAATAGCCCAAAACTTCTCTCAACCCACTCAAGCCACATGTAGGTCTTAATTGATGTTGCACAGACTTGTTGATGTGGTTTAGGACACAATATGAATTAGTGAGAACTATAAAAATTAACAAAACTTTGCTGTGTTGCTGAACACTGTAGGCAGCTTTTTTAGACAACAGGGTCTGTTGTAGCTACCAAGGAATCTAATCTAAGCTAAGTTCTTTAATTTGTGGCTGCTTTATGAATACTATCCCTGGTGTTGTCTAAAATGGCTGCCTGTGGCAGTGAAGTTTTTATCATGTTTATTGTTCACAGTAAATTATGTCGATGTGTCCCAATTGGTATTTTTACAGAAACGATTTGCGCTATTCTGGGTGTCGGTTGAATAGACCTTTTTCACAATTTCTCTGTCGTCACATCCGGCTGTAAATAATAGCGTTATCGAACTTCTGCCTGCTCCATTTACAGAGCGGCAACGGAGGGTCACCGGTTTTTAGCCTCCCTCAAAAATCTTCCTTCGGCCTCAGTGCACTTAATGGGAGAGCAGTGTCTGGTAGTTCCTCCAACATGGATGGAAAGGCTAGTTTGACTTGGCCAGTGCGTTGCGCAGAACTTAAAACATTTGAATTTTTAATAATTTCTGCGTCTGCTGCTCTGGACTCTCTTTACCGCTGTGCGCGCTCCAGGACGAGCCAGGTAAACGGAGTACGGTGCAGCAGACAGCTGTGCCACGCATCTCACATTTGAAAGCGCACCTCCGTGTCAAAGCAGCTGCATTAAGTTTTGCAAAGCAGAGAAGCGGATCTTGATGCTCAACACCACATCACTCATCCGTAAAGAGATTTGCTCTGATTGTGCTTCATTTTGGAGAAAAAAATGTCCACCAGGCTTAATTCTTCTTACTCAGCCCATGTAAACATTAGCAACATTAACAAGTGCCCTGAACACCACAACTAGCACAGAAACACAGCATTGTATTTCTACATTACAGTGAACTAATCGCCAAGCTACTGTGGTGACTGTTTCTCAAGGTTTTTAAGCAAACCTCTGTGATGACAATCTCCAGGATTGTAAATATGCCAGTGAACAAATATGTGTCTTGGAGCTGGGGAGCATTTTTAATCACAAATGTGAGTTAATCTGTCCTACTGTACAGCCCACATTTGCTCTCCAGTCCAAATTTGATCAAGTTGAAACACAGGTATGGCTGTTTAGTTGAATTATTGGAGCATTTGGGAATGCAGCCATGATTTTGGGCAGTGTCAGCTATTGTTTACAGAGCGACCAGCAGCCGCTTAACGCTACTATTTATTCTTCTGCATTAACGAAAACAAAAGTGTGAAAATGGTCTATTCTACTGTATGTTAGCAACATTAGCCTAAACTAAAGAAGCAAAATTTTGGCTCTAGATGTGTCATGGCTGATCTGGGGTTTTCTTTTAAGGTTTAGTTACAATCTCTATGCTGCAGTGAACCAACCCCGATAACAAGATTACAACAGGACATTTTAGAAGCATACATTTTTACCCAATGTCTTTATTGTGTGCCGTTGTTATTTTGTATTAGAGAAGAGTGCAGTAACTTCTTTGTGGTCATTTTTGGTGAGAAAACTTTGTCATTGTACACTTCAAGATTAAGCTGTTCATGATAAATCAACAACCCTTAAGCTCTCCACATAGTCTACAGTGTGAATCTACTGACATAGCTAATATTGTTGGTTATTATTACTTTGTGCTAAGAATTAAGCTACATAAAGTGTTAACATAATACTTTACCACTGGGGTATCTGAACCATGGATATTAATGTGACGTTGCCCTTCCCCTTTGCAACTATAAGAGCTTTCACTCTTCTGGGAAGGCTTTCCACAAGATTTTGGAGTGTGTCTGTGGGAATTTGTGCCCATTCAGTCAAAAGAGCATTTATGAGGTCAGGCACTGATGTTGCATGAGAAGTCCTGGCTTGCAGTTGACATGCCAGTTCATCCCAGACATGTTCAGTAGAGTTGAGGTCAGGGCTCTGTGCCGGCCAGCGGAGTTCTTCCACGCTAAACTTGCCAAACCATGTCTTTATGGACCTCGCTTTGTGCACAAGGGCACGGTCATGCTGAAACAGAAAAGTTCCTTCCCAAAACTGTTGCTACAGGGTTGGAAAAATCACTTGATCACTTTGTCAGGGCTGTTTTACATTAAATATAGTGGACAGCAGCTTGTACACTTGCACAACACGGGATGAGCGTTCCGGCACATTTCAGTAAGCCAAATAAATTGGTTCAGCTAATCAATAAGAACTCTTTCAGATCCAAAGCGGCATTTCTTTTGGTAGCATTGGCAGTTTTTGTTAAATTCCAAAATTATTTAGCAATATGATGTTTCATTAAATTTTGAACAAGTCGTTGTCTAAAATGTTATTAATCAAATATATCATTTCTTAAAACATTATTTAAAAAAAAATATGTGGAAATATAAAGACTTTACATTAAGTAATGGCTTGCAGGCCAGAACTGTTCGTATAGCAGACATCCTTTGTGTTAGTAATCCAAAATACAGGAAGACAGATGGAATGAAAGAAACTGCAGAAAAAGAATGACTGAAAATGATAGTTCCTAATGTTGTTTAGGTAATTCTTATGGGATTGTAGGTTGTAGGATAAATCTGATTGCTTATTTAAACATCCTCTCTGACAGATAGGAGGAATAAAGGAAAAAGTCATATTATTTTGTGCTCATAGATTCTTCTGAATGCTCCTGTTTATTTCAACTAAAAGGGAAAAAAGCTTTTTTTAATCTGGCCTCATTTACATCATGAGGATATCATCTCATTTCTAATCAGCCATAGAAGTGCAAAAATTAAAAGTGCAAAAGAGCAAAATTGTGTTTTCCACAACATGAGACCTTTACATTTGGAAATCTGACAGCACCTGCTTACTGATTTGTCTCAGAGGATTCATCTTGCTTTCTAAGCACCTGGCTTCAAATTCTAGCAGGTGTGCTGGATTAATACTGAGAATTAGGCTTTGATTGTGGTGATAAATCAATTATGTACTGGGATTCTAGCGCAAATATAAAGGACTAAAAGGGACAGGAAAGTAAAGCTAGAAAATGGAATAATCATCAGAGCAAATGTACCTTGAGTTTTTCAATCAGTGGTGGTGATGATTTAGTTTATTTTGGGGTGTTTTGTAAGGTTTTGAAAGAGTGCAGTGCACATGTTCTTGTAGATTTTTAACTATGCTGGACTCTCTATTTTTTCTTGTTTTTTTCGTAAAAGGACAACCAGGCATTTAGGCACAAAGCACTAAGCAGTTGAACTCTTTGAATTCCAGCTGTCCTTGTCTGTACGATACCCAGGCTATTAAAATAATGCTTTTGTTTTTTGAACCTGCAGTCTTACAGTATTTTGAACTGATCCACCATGTGTCAAACACTGCATGGCCAAATGTGTGTGGACACACAGATATCACGTTTATATGTGCATGTTGAATCTCTCGTTCCAAAACCATGGGTAGTAATATGGAATTGCTCTTACAGTAACCTGCACTAAGCAGTTAGAGCAAATTTGGAAGTACACTTCACTAGAATGCCCATGACTGTATCATTAAAGATTTTCCTTCCCTGAAACTAAGAAACTCAACCAAATTTTACAATTGGCACAATGCATTTGGGCAGGTAGCGTTCCTCTGGCATGCAGCAATCCCAGATTTGTCCATCAGACTGCCAGATGATGAAACATGATTGATAAATCAAAAGAACATATTTCTACTGCTCTGGAGTCCAATGGCAGTTTGCTACACCATTCAACCTGATGCTTGGCATTGTTGCTTGTATGGAGATGCTCAGCTATTGAAATCCAGTCTGTGAAGCTCCTTCTGAACACGTTTTGTGCTGACATTGCTTCCAAAGGCAGTTTGGAGCTGGGTAGTGAGTGTCAAACAGGGACAGATAATTTTATACGCTACATACTTCAGGAATTGCCATTTCTGTTTTATAAACTTGCGTGGCCCACCAAGCTGTTGTTGCTTCTGGACATTTCCACTTCACAATAAGTTACAGTTGATCAGATCAGCTGTAGGAGGACAAAAAAGACTTGTTACAAAGGCGCATGGCTGTATGCTTGATTTTTTGCAACTTGCTGAATTCCTTACATGAAATAACGTAATGAAAGGACGATTTGCCAGTTAAATACAATAGAAAAGATAGGAACTCGCCACAGTGCATTCCAATTGTATTGACATCGTTTCCACTCTTACACTGTAGGTAAAATTATTCAAAAAAGTACTCAAAAACACTTATCCTAATTATTAGCACTTTGAATTTGGTAGTTTCTTCGACCTCTCTTTGGCAAAATATCAGAGTCTTCTCTCATAATGCTGCATGAGGTAACAGAAGACATAAAGAAGCAATGATCATTAATATACATATTAAACATATTAATATTTTTGCACCAATCATATGAAAACTACCACATAAAGAAATCTGTATGTGAGAGAAAGAAACTAACTTCAGACTCATTAAACAAATTCCAGTAACATTAGCTAAGTTAACGTTGTCCAGCCCCAGTAGCAGTCCTGAATATGAACCTGAAACTTTTTTATAATTCATTAAAATAAAATACTGTAAGTAGGCCTCTATTATTACATCATCACCTCATCACAATTATTTGAGATATTCGCAATTATTTAAGCTGACTACGATCATTTTCTGCAGTCATTAGATTTCACGGTTACGCTGCAATAAGCAAAATGTGAATTGGTCACATTGAGTTGAGGCAAATAAATGTAAATAAAAGAAGGTTGTAAATCCATTTATTGAGACACATGATGAGCCTCATGAAAACTTGGTGATGTAACATGTTTAGAGGGCAGCACACCTAAAGTTTGCCTATTTGTAGCTATATAACTATTTCAAACATATTTAGCATGTATGCTAGCAGAATGGTGTTTTGCTCATATTTTTACTCTCAAGTAAAAATGCAGCTTTGCTCGACTCTACACATTTCTGTGTGACTGTAGACATCTGACTGGGTAAAGATAGCTAGGAAGCAAGATGGCTAATTTGTTAATTTGGCCACTTGACCTAATAGTGATGATGGATGTTTTTAGTTGTGGAGCTGTTTGCCTAATTTATGAAGGTAAACATTCTGTTGTTTCATTTGTGTATTCTCTGATGTTCCCACAGTGATGGTACACTAGATAGCCATGAGTTACCACTAAAGAGTTCTTAAGTGTGTTTCAGAAATATTTTTTTCTATAAGGATTTCTAAAAATATTTTTACCTATGAAAGGTTAGATTTCTTTCAGATTTTCAATATAAAATCAAGATGATAAACAACAAAGACCTTTTTCATGCTCTTTTTTACCATTCGTTTCCAAGGATGCCAACAATTCTGGAAGGCATTATATGTATTATATGTCTCTAAGGAGAGATCTAAGAGAATTCACCTGAGGAGAATGATGAGTATTCAAACCAAGTGTACTCACAGTAGGACAAGCTGTCTTTGTAATAAAAGCGGAGGTGGAGGAGAGAACATGGCAGATAGATGGGTCTAATTAAGATCACTACCACATTATTACACTCAGCTCAATCAAACCAGGTTATAAGAATGATGAGACTCCTAATGGCCCCATATTTGAGCAGTGTAATCAGGCATAGCCTATTCTGTAGTTTTAGTCACCTCTAGATAGAGAGCTACCAAATTTAATGAGAGATCACTGCCATGACAGATGAGATTTGGCTCGGGCTTCAAATCAAAGATTCATTGTGATGCACAGCAGCTCGATTAGAGAGACTTGCACTTACTGAATTGCAGGATTTTCTTTTATCTGTATACTGTATGTAAGAAAATGAATTGCAAAAGAAATTTCACATCTCTTGCACTATTCAGTCTGTTGCACTTAAACTCCCATTATTTCATATGCATTCTCCTAACAAATGATATCATACTATATGTTGTACATCATGAACTATGTGGAAATTAACTTCTTATTGTGTAGTTAGTTTTTAGCAGATACATTACTTTTCCCATTGTGAATGCCGCTCAGTAACCGTTTCCAATATTTTGAATTCTTGGAGCCAGAGTTTGTTTTCCAGTCATAGCTTCTTCTCTTTTTGATCCAACAGGCCATTGAAGATGGCAACCTGGAGGAGATGGAGGAAGAGATCCGTCTGAAAAAGCGTAAACGGAGGAGACATGTGGACAAAGGCAGCAGACGTGAAGATGGGGAAAAGGCCAAGAAGAGGAGAGGACGCCCCCCGGCCGAGAAGCTTTCCCCTAATCCCCCAAAACTCACCAAACAGATGACTGCCATCATTGAGACTGTCATCAACTACAGAGATGGGTAAGAGGAAGCAAATATTTTTTCTGCCTATAAGCTAAGACTTCCTTTGGTTAAAATTTGACCCATCCCATTGTTTTGACTGTCAATTCAAACTAGCCCATAGCAATGACACCAGTACACAGCAACATACAGCCAGGATGATTTCATTTTTATTGGAGGTGATGTAATGTCCTGGGAATTCTGATAGGCCTATGTCATTTTTGGTGTACTCTTCTTATGGAAAGCTGGGTTGTCTGTTATTCTGTACTCAATGTACTGTGCTTTCTTCACTGGCAGCGCTTGTGTTTCTTCTCCTTAAATATGCTCCCACTGGCCTCGTCTTCTCCACCTCTCAGCACCCACCCCAGCATTTTTTTTCCAAGAATCCACTACCTGCTTTCCATAAAGTCACATTCCTTAACTTTCCAAGTGTGGTCTTTTCAGTGAGCGTCTTAATTGCAGCTGATTCTTGTAGCTGCGCTTTGGCTTTTCGCACACGTTTTCCACTCTGAAGTCTACGTCCTCTGGGGAGGCTATCCTTCTACCAGTCACGTGCACGGAATACGCTGGAATGATTTAACAGAGCCATGATCGCTGTGGCCCGCGGAGAATTTCAGACAGGACTTTGGCTGACAGTCGCACCATGCAACTGTGGAAGTCTGGTTCCACTTGCTGTTGGGACAGTGGAGGAATTGTAATTGGATAAGACCTACTTCTTAGAAACAGCGACGAGTATGAAGGCTCAGATTTCACTGTGCAATCCTCACTCAGTCATATCTGGATTGAATTTCGTCATGCAGTCTTCAAGAAGGAGGGTAACAATATGTATGAAAAAATATTCATTTGGATTGGGGAAAAATATGGTATTTTGGGTAAAAAAAAAAGCTATATTGATAAATCCAGGCCAAAGCATTGATATTTTGTTTTTTAATTTATTATAGTACATATTAATGATATATATATATTTGGATTGTTTTTTATGATGCAGTCTCCAAGGAAGGAGGTTAAAGTATATTTAAAAAGTCTTCATTAGAGGTGGGAGAATGTTAGTTTTGAATTTTTATTTTTTTAATGTATGTTAAGCCCATTGGTAGACTAATAGGGTATCAAAATACATTTTCTTATTCTACAAGAGGCCGCTAGTCCTTTTTTTATTAATCTGTTGTAATGACAACTTCCAAACTGACAAAGTCTTTAGGTTGCACAGATCAGATCTTGCATCTTAATTTGTTTACCTTCCTGACCATTTAAGTGACATGCATTCATGTTCTAAATCAATAATTCATCAGAGTGGATGAAGCTTGATAAATTAGCCAGCTAAAATACATGCTCACCTGTCTGTATCCCTGACAGCTTCCCTGCAATGAGCTCACTGTTGGTGTTAATTAGAAACAAGATAACTTACATAACTTGCTCCCTGTTGTACTTCAGGTATCAGAGCATTTGTTATTTAAATTGGAGAAATATTTATGGTAATTGCTTTGGATCTGTGTAATACGGTCTCTGTGTATTTGAAACATTGGGGATGGTGTGACTAATACAGAAATACTGCTACTTAAATTCCATCCTCAATAGTTTTTTTAATAAGTAGAATTGTTTTAAACCAAGCATTAAACTTTGATGGTAAGTGGTCGTGACCATAATGATGTGCATCCTTCCAAAAAAACCCCCAACAGTAATCTGACAGGTCCAGCACACTGTAATTGCACCAGTATGAACCCTGATTTAGTCATGAAATGGATAATGAATCATCTGTGTTTTGAGTGTAGGTCCTGCTACGTGTCTTGGCAGACACTAACTCTTCTGGCTGGAGAGGGAGAAGGGGGGAAGGGAACTACTCAGTTTGGCTCTGTTAGTGAAGACATGGTTGAGCTTACATCATGTTTTCCTTTCTAGCTTTGATTTATTTCACTTGCCTAAATTTAGGTAACTAAATTCTAATTAGTTATATTGTTTATATTATAACTTTATTTATTTTGAGGAACTAAATTATAACGAATTCCATCAGGCGGGTGATATAGGATTCCAACAGCTACCAGAAATATGTTTGTGTTTGTCCCAAACCCAGTGGAAATCATAACTTCTTAAAAGTGTGGGAATGCTTTTGGCCTTAGATGGTTATATATGCTTTGCCTCTATATGTCTGTTTACTGTTTTGTAAAAGTCACGGAGTCAACCCATGGCATTAAATAAGAGGTTTAGGTAGTGCAGTTTTGCATTTGATGTAAACAAACCAATATAGCAAGATCTTCTGTAGATCAGAAGCCAGCAGAAAATCTTTCTCAACCACATATTCCACTCTTAATCTTCACGCTGTCCAGAGGAATCCAACTAAACCTGGCTCTCTGTGTCCGATTACAGATCAGGCCGGCAGCTTAGTGAAGTCTTTGTGCAGCTGCCTTCCAGGAAGGAGCTCCCAGAGTACTATGAACTGATAAGGAAGCCGGTGGACTTCAAGAAGATCAAGGTAAAAGCCCATGCAAGCGCAAGATAACTTGATTCTCAACCTCTCATTCTTTATTCACTGTTGTGACATGCTATTGCATGATAAAAGGTTGAGTGACACTTTCATTTCTTAGGGAGTGTGATAATAGGATTAACTAGGCATGAAGGTTTTAATTGGATTTTTAGTGCACAATGCAAGATGTGATAATACTAAGTGCTTACAAGTTAATGTGTTATTTTTCAATTTGTTATGCAATGCTACCATTGTCTCCTTTTCTCTTCAGCAATGTAATTGCCCATTTTTAATAGATGCCATAGTTGGTTTATAGGCTGTGAAGTGCTTTAAATGTTAGAGACATGATGTGATGTGTTTGTAGGAGAGAGTGCGTAACCATAAGTACAGAAGCCTGGGCGATTTGGAGAAGGACGTAATGCTTCTTTGTCACAATGCTCAAACCTACAATCTGGAAGGTTCCCAGGTGAGTGAGTGAAAGCATGTAATGCCCACTTCTATTATCTTACATAAGAGATGTCAAGGACTACTATGGAAAGATTTCATTCGCTTCAGGGGTTGGACATCGTAGCACAATGGACAGCAAAATTGTAGAACAATATATACCTTTTTTTCAGCTCACACTGAAAAATCAACACCAGCATATGGAGATGCTTCAGATTATTTACTTGTGTGAAGATGTTTTATACTGTTTCCCTAAGGACTTTCGGATATGTTGTTGTCATCATGTATTGCACCGTTAAGGAAGCTTGCCAAGCTTTGCCCTTTAGAGAATTTACCCTGTTTTCTTTCAGACTATTTTTGTATGAGAACTCTGCCCTTCCATTCGGACCAAAAGTACAGTTGGATTTGCGTCAGCAGATATTGAACATTTGGAAGTTTAGCATCTCTTTCCACTTATAATCTTCTTTTTGCATGTTTCTTTTGGATTACCATAAAAGTGCCCTCAGTTTCTTTGCCAGAAAGAATGGAATTATGTTCCAGAATCCTCATTTCTATAATTGATTCCAGCATTTTATCTGCTGTGAGATGGTCACATCTGTAGAGGGAATTCATGTTTAAAAACAACTCTCCCCACATTTTTGTAGGACAATGAATTCTCTGCATCCGAACAACTTGATTGCATGCAAGCATTTGCTGTTGTATATAAACATTTACTCATCCAACTCTAGAAAATAAGGCTTTGATTTTTTTTATTTGTATGAGTGAATTTTTCAAGTTGTGTCTGTCACCTGTTCCTTATCCATTTTTTCTGCATTACTGTGTCATTATTAGGCTTGTGTAAGCTCAGACATTCCCACAGAAATACTGACACAGATCCTTTATGCTTGAACACGGCGCTGTTTCTTCAGCAGTGCAGCGAGGTCCTTGTTGTTGTCTTCAAGCTTTGACTGACATGCTGTTTTCTTCAGATCTATGAGGACTCCATCGTACTGCAGTCTGTGTTTAAGAGTGCCCGGCAGAAGATTGCCAAAGAAGAGAGCGAAGACGACAGCAATGATGATGACGATGATGATGAGGAGTCAGAGGCTGAGTGTAAGATTTTTTAAGAAGATAAGATTTATTTTTCTCTGTACAGTACTGTGCAAATGTCAGAGACCACTCTTCATTTCTTTAATTTTTGTTTAAAACTGCCATTAACTCTTACAAACCTAAAATTTCGGACAATTTTTTTGGTATTTTTCGGGTCAATTACAATTACAATTATAAAGTATTTACATGTGACAGTTACAAATGCCATATGTTATTATTTTCAGGAGACCCTGTGCTACTCAGATACGCCATTGTTTGCCATGTAAATGCTAACAGAAATTTGATATCTTTATGAATTTGGGTCATTTCTGATCAAATATTTACCTAGCGCCTGCAAAATTTTGTACTTTTTTAATTATGGAGATCTTGAAAACAAGTGCAGTAGTAGTTATCTTTTCAGAAATTGTTAGTCTGGAGTGCCTGTGAGCTGAAAGTGCAATAATTTTGATGATTCATTCTGTTGGTTATGAGTAAAAAAAAAACAATTAACATAATGCGGACATGTTTTTTTTTATTGATTTTCTGTCCTCTTGGATACTCTAAAACACAGCAAGACAGGCTTTATTTTTAATTACAAATTGAATTGCATATTTAATATCAGATCATTTTAATACTCAAAATCAATGTGAACTGAAAGCCCTTTGTTTATAATATGAAGGCTAAAAGCAGAGATGTAATATAACAGTAGCGAGTGGGGTTTGGGTGATTTTGGAGCTGAATTGCTGGCTGATGGATGGTTACAGGTGGATGAAATCACTCTGGATTGTGAGGGCAGAGTCTGATGAGTGTTCTGATGTGTGAATCATGTCGCTGTTTTAACCCTTTGTTGGAATATGAAGGCTAAACAGCAGAGCAATAATATCAGGATTTTAGGTGATTTTCCAAGCAGAATTACTCACTGATGCTGCTCGATGATGTCAGGCTTGCTAGTTAGGGGCGGGTCTGCTGAATGTCCTGATATGTGGATCATGTTTGTATCTTAAACCATTCTGAAGTTATGAAGGCTAAAAGTGATCTACCGTTTTGCCCGCAAAAGGGTGAAGTACAGCTTTTATTTTTCTGGAGATATTTCTGAAGAGATTAAATATAAGATAATCCACTTGCATAAGGAAGGGGAAAATCAAAGGACAATAAGTGAATAATAGGAGTTTGTAAACCTGGAGTTCAAAAATTATTAACAGGTCTACAGAAAATGAGACTACTAACAACTGTGCAAGACCTGGTAGACCACCAAAACTGTTCCCATCAGATAAACAGTACTTCAGGCTTTCATCTTTGAGAGAGAGGAGCAAATCAGACTGTCCATCCTTCCATTGTTAGAAGGCAACTTAACACTGTGGATCAGAAAGAATGTGTAGCTGTCAAGAACCCATTTCTGAGAAAAGGAAATAGACAAAGAAGACAAAGAAGCCGCTGGTGTTCTCAGAACAATGGACTGACCGTTCTCAGAACAATGGACTGACCACAGTCCAGACCTCAACATCACTGAATGTGTTTGAGATTACTTGTATCATGAGAAGCAGAAACTGCAACCAACTTCTAAAACTGAACTTTAAATTGAAGATGTGGAAAACATCTCTTGAAAACTGAAAGCAAGTCTGCTTTTGTAAGCTGTAATAAAGGGAAATGGTAGATAGACTTAATACTGAAAAAGTTTGAGGTTCTGTGTAAATTGTTGTTAAATATATTTTCTCTTTTTTTGAAATGCTGATAATTTAAAAAAAAATGTGCTCAATAACCGTCTTGATTGGAAATTAAATAAGTGAAGGGAGGTCTCTGACTTCTGCACAGTATTGAAATTCTTGCAAAGTCACTTGATGGATTCCATTTGTTACTCTGTGCAGTGAACAACTACATAATAAGCTTCATACTTTCAAAAATATTGAGCTTTCAGGTAAAAGAATATTCAGAAATGACCCACTTGCCACTTTTGTAGGACCTTCAAAAGACAATATTATAAAAGTGAGAATTAGTTCTTCAAAACCCTTGAACAGACAAGTGCCATTACCTAATAATTACTAAATGATGGAGCTCAAACAGAACTTAAGTGCACATAGTGGTTTCATACAGTTACATCAGCCGAAAACAAGAAGAAAGCTTCTGTGTATGCTTCGATCTCACCACTCCACAACTTTCATACACAATTAGCTTTTCCTGTCACCAGAGAAGGCTTTCATGTTCGTTCTGCCTCAGCTTATTTAAACGCACTGTCTGAGTTATGATGTCTCTTTTTAAATTATTAATTAGTTGTTTATTTTTGGTGGGGTTACTGGCAGGACATGCTTGTATTAAGAGAACCTGAGAGAATGTTTAATTTTACATCAAAAATCATAAGGCAAAATTTGGCTGTTAGTCTGGCCTGTTATCTTGTTCCTTGGCACATAACTGGTGTTTTTTTTTTTTTGGGCTTCCATTCTAGCCAAGTCGGTGAAGGTGAAGATCAAGCTGAGCAAGCGAGAGGAGCGCAGCCAAGACAAAGGCAAGAAGCGGCCAAGCCGGGCCAAAGCCAAACCTGTGGTCAGTGACGATGACAGCGACGAGGAGCAGGAGGAGAATGTAGGTCCATATTACCATCAGCGTACACTACCTGTTATTTCCTCATCTCGTGTTCACACAAATGTTGAGGATTGTTCAGATGCCAAAACCCCTTTTTGTTTAATTATTATAGTCTGCAGACTATTAGGTCAGCAGTTATGTTAGTTAAGTAATGACCACTCTGAGATTTATAAAAAATATGATGGCCATATATCAGAATTTCTCAGTGTCATTGTCCCAATTCTAATCTATGAGCTATATAAAATATTAGATTGTTTATCAGGCCCAGGTATTGATTAGTATCAAGATTGCCCGCATGTACTCTTTATTCTCCTTTTTTCACTTCTTGTCTCTGTCCCTTCTGCTGCAGTTTACAAGGAAAACGTAAGTCTTTTCTGACTCTTACTTCCCAAGAACATTCCTTTCTTATATTTTTGTCTGGTCAACTCTAGTCAGAATGTCAGGTTTCATGTAGCGCTGAGACCCTTATGGGACCCTTAAGGGTGTCAGCATAGCTCATTATTTAGGAGTGATGGGTACGTATATAGCCAAGCCCCTGCATGTAATGAGTCTCCTCAGGCCAGCTGTCAGTGTCGGACAGTGGCTGTGCCAGAATTTGAGAATGGGGTGAGCCAAGTATGTCACAAGTTGGCCTAGACTAGTATTATTTAAAATGGTTAAAATAGTCAATAAATTTACCAAAATGATATTTACAATTTTCATATCCAGACTAATAGCTGTAATTGCAGGCATCATTGCTCTTATTCAAATTGAACTATTTTTACAGTGGGGGGTAAAATAAATTAGGTTATTGCCAACAAGATTCATGATTTTAATCTTGTATGACTTTGTAATGTCTGTTGTTTTTGCCCATAATTCCAAAGTGGATTACCTTCTGTAATTAGCTGACGCTGCTGAACCTGGTTCCCTCAGTAAAAGTTGTCTTCACATTCTGACTGCATGCAATAAACAAATGTTAAACCTTCCATGTTTTATTCATATTTTATTCATAACAGTACAAAATATTTTAAATAATGTTCATTTAAAAGAAGACATTTGAATAGCAAAAATGGAACGAACATCCTACTATTTGGCTTGTGTTGAGCCTATGTTGGCCCTGTGTTGAGCCTATGTTGAGAATGTGTTGAGCCCATGTTGAGTGTATGCTGAGTCTGTTGGGCCTGTGTTGAGCCTATGTTGAGATTGTGTTGGGAATGTGTTGAGCCTTTCTTGAGTGTATGTTGAGACTGTGTTCGGCCTGTGTGGAGCCTATGTTGAGCATATACTGAGACTGTGTTGGGCCTGTGTTGAGCCTGTGTTGAGATTGTGTTGAGCATATGTTGAGATTGTGTTGGGAATGTGTTGAGTCTATGTTGAGTGTATGCTGAGACTATGTTCGGCCTGTGTTGAGCCTATGTTGAGCAAATAGTGAGACTGTGTTGGGCCTACATTGAGCCTATGTTGAGATTGTGTTGGGAATGTGTTGAGTGTATGCTGAGTCTGTTGGGCCTGTGTTGAGCCTATGTTGGGACTATGTTGAGCCTTTGTTGGGACTGTGTTGAGACTAGCCTGAATTTCTCCTAAACTCTCTCTTCCTCTTTGGTGTGTTCACAGGAGCAGTCTGAGGGCAGCCCCACAGAAGACGAGTGATGAGGACGAGACCAGCTGATAGTCGCCTGATCCTTCCATTATTTCCTAATTCTTTTTTTGTTTTTTTTTTCGTTGTTTTTCTCTTTTTTTCCATCACCAGCATCTGCTCCTCTGCTGTTTTTCTGCTTGGTTTCAGAAGTCACATTCATTGGCTTGTTCTCTCCAGTGCAGTAGAGGTACTGCTTTTTTCACAAGTGGCTGTTTAATCAATCCATCATGTGGCTTCACTACACATACTGAGGAAACTGATTGTGTATTCTTGTATGTATTTTATCCCTTATGCAATATTTTACATACTTTACCTAAAAACACATTAATGTGTGGTTGGAGAGAAGAAGGGCAGAAAAGCTTCATAGTTCATTTATAAGCTACCAAAAGGAAAAGAATAAAAAGATTTATATCTAAAAGTTTCTATTTGATAATATAGATGCACATGGTCAAACCAAGCTCTTTGTATTCATATTCTCTGGCAGTTACACTTAAAGTGATGTTCCCACCACATGAGTTCATGCCCTTAAACTTACGTGTTGTTGTGATTATTAGTAACAAGCTAAGCAGAGATTTAAGAAGTGAAGGGATATCTTGGGATTAGTCTTTGATATAGTCCGCTGATTGACCTGATGCTGTTTTCAGCAGCTGGAGAGGCCTGAGGAGGTTCTCCAGTGTTTTTTTGAGATTCACTTAGACATAACAGACTTCTAGACTTCGTCTGTTCACTTCATTCGGGCCTCTCTTGTGTCTCGCCTTTAATACCAACTCTCACAGATATTTTTGTATTCTCTTTTCAAAGGTTTGCGGTTTTGTTAAGAGGCAGAACAATTTTTTGGGGAAAAAACTCATTGTAAGCCTTGATACTGTATTGATATATTGATATGAACATGTATCTAATTATTTTGAAGTTGATGCTGTTTTTTTGTCTTGTTCATGAGCTTACGTATACCAGTATTAGTGTCTGTTTTTCTCTCCTAATGTCTGTCATCTTGTTGCCGTTATATACATACTCTGCTTGTCACCTTTTCTGAAGTGTCAATCTTTGCTTTCTTTGCACAATGTCTTTGTGGTTGTATCTCATAGCCCAAAGTAAATAAATGTCAGATTTTGAAGGTTTGTTGTTCTTTGACATCTTTGGCATACCTCATCCAGGAGGTATTATCACAAGTAGCTGAAAAGCTTATGTGAAGACTCAATATAAAACAACTAAATAGCTCATTTATACAGCTGTTGTTATCGTAAAGAACAATGTTTACCAAGTTTGTCTGTGTTCCCCACCAGATGCATAATAGATTTAAAGATCTGCCACAGATGTTTTCCTTTCACACTGAATATTACATTTTAGAAATGACACCAGGTGTGTTCAGTGTGTAGCTAGTTATGTGCTCACGCATAGTGTCGATATCATAATGGCTTCAAACTGTTCAAACTATTAATATTAATTTCAGCTATCAATATGTTTTTGAGGTTTTTGCACCTTGAAACAGCCAGACTCTGTTGGAACAGTGTGAATTGTAGGACTTAATCACACATCTCAGTAATTAAAAACTTTGATGTTGAAAAAGTTACTTTTTCAGGGTGAATTTTGAGAAATATCTGGCTGATTGTCTGTCAAAACTGGCAGATGATGTATTTATAGGAATATTAGAACATGACTAAAAACACATTCAGCTTTAACCTGTTTAACTATATTAAACTATAGTTGAACTATGTTTAAATATATTAAATATCTATGTTCTATCCTTTATGTATGTAGTTATCCTAATACATAATTATGTATTGCTGTGAAGAAGTATTTGCCCCTTCCCGATTTCTCCTATTTATGCATATTTGTCACTTGAATGTTTCAGATCATCAAACTACTTTTAATATTAGACAAAAATAACCCAAGTAAACACAAAGTGCAGTTTTTAAATGATGATTTCATTCATTTGAAGTAAAATGCTGTTCAGCCTGGCCTGGCCCTATGTGAAATGGTAATTGCTCCCTTAGCTACTAAATCAGCCAGTTAACCAAATTCATTTGGCTACTGTGTTCAAACTGCGCTATCCACACCCAGGCATGATTACTGCCAGACCTGTTGAATCTAAACATCACTTAAATAGAACCTGTCTGGCAACGTGAAGCAGGCTAGAAGGTCTCAAAAAGCAGCACATGATGTCTTAAGAGATTCAAATACAGATGACCAGGGGTGCGCAAACTTTAGCATTCAACTGTACAAACGTACTGAAGTATGAGTTAAAAGATGGTCATTTGGAAACACGCTTAGCATGTGTGACTGTGTTACACCTCATTATCCCCCACATGTCCCACAACAGCTGAGCACTAGGAGGCAGTGTAGAGACCATCCATCTTGATTTGGATCAGACTCCCTTTTTCCCCTTGAGAGATCAAAAACTTCTCTCCGGTTTTGTGCTCGGCCTGTTTAACTGAAGCTGCTTTAAGCCAATTTCTGTCCGAGGCTACGCAGCCATGGCCGCTCTGTGCTTCCCGCGCTTTTGAAGTGGCGAGCTGTTTAGATAGTAGTAAGCCTCTGAAGAAAGAGATAAATTGGATGGTAATCCTTGTAGCTGTGCCAGAGATGGCAGCTGGAGAGTCAGGTGCCAGCGCAATCCCTGCTATTCCTCTGTAGCCTTTGTGAGTTCTGGTCAGTGCGCTTGATAGCCAAGGCTTTTTCTTTCATTCTTCCTTTCTTTTTTTGAAAGAATTCCTTTTCCATGTGGCATAAAAAGAATTGTGTATGATCTAATGAAAGGACCAGGTGCTCTCTATTATTAGACGTTCTGATCCCAGTCGCACTTTTATCACCATTTTGGTTCGGTTTGCTCTGTGAGAGCTTATGTATAACCCAGTATGCACAACTTCAAGGGACCTGCAGAGAAAATGATTGTCGCTATGGGAATCAGCGGTTTAGAGGTTTGGTGAGCTCTGCGTGATTGAGAAGGCCTTTATTTCATCACATAGGCTACTGTCCTCCAGTTGAGACCAAACTGATTAACCTTTTATCTAAACACGCGTAGGTACATTTGTTGTGGGCAACATGCAGAGAAGCCCTGCTGATTTCTGCAGAAAATGGCCTAAACACTTGTACATGCTGATTTGCTTTGAGCCTGAGGTGATTGTATCTGCTGGTGTGACAGAAAGATTAATTTGCACTTTATGGTTTTTATTAATAATGGAATACAGTTGTAGACTGTTATCACAGTTTCATCTGCTCTCTGCAGTTTCTGAATTACTAAAGCGCTGAGTTCGTTTGCCTGAAAAGCTAACATGTTTGAATAGCAAGCAGAGTTGTTAATAGATAGTTTGTAGTGTTTCTGTATGAAATTTGCTCAAGGGATTTTTCAGTATTTTTACTGCACTATAAAAAAATACAACATAAAAGATGTACTTCATGCGGTAACTGCTTTATTAAAGTCAAATGAATTATCTGATCAAAACAAAGCAAGTACAGCATTATTATCTACAGAGCCCTGCTGGTGACAACCTGTGTAAATTGAAATAATGTGAGGCCACAACTTAGTAGGGCATGGGAATGAGATAATTAAGTTGTGGTCACAACTTAGTAAGTTGTGGGAACGAGATCATGCCGTGCTAGGTTGTGGTGTTCAACTGCTAGCATTTCAACACTGCATACAGTAATCATACGTGACGTTAATATGTGACATTGAATGGTAAGCATTTAACATGCTCTAGTAGCCCTTAATAGCCTTACATTTCACTGCCACATAACACTTTAAACTAGGTTCATATAATTTCCCTGTAAGTATTCAATACTGGAGTATTTAACCTTTGGTCCTGGATTTCTGTTTGTTTTTTTGGTACTGAGTAAGTGAAGAGAAGTTCTATAATTTGAAAACATTAACGTGTATGAAGGCTGCCCAGCGCTAAAGCATGGTGGTGGGATAATAATGCTTGATCACTGAGAGCTCAGTGAATTTAAAGTGGTATCAGGAAGGTTCAGCAGAATGGCCGAGCATCTGTCTGTGATCTAAAACTTAAAAGAGGTTGGGTCATTCAACATGACAACGATCCAAAACAATGTAAATCAACAACACAGTGGATCAAAAAGAGGAAATTCTGTAATTAAGGCAAAGAATGGGTCCGGATTATAATTCCATTGAAATGCTGAGGAATGATCTGAAACAGGTTGGGACAGGCTGTTCATTCTAGATATTCCAAAAGGATACATAAACTTTGAAATAAAATACTAACCACCGCACAAGACTGATCAGCTACAGAAAGCATTTAGTTGGAAATAAAGGAGGTTGCAGTAGTTATGTAACGAAAGGGTTCACATTCTTTTCCCTCAAGTGAAAAGTAGCCAGGTTCAGTTTGAGGATTGGTGACCTCTCATTCTAACCATTCTTTTCTATAAGAATATAATATGTTATTAGTTGCCTGAAACATAATTTTGATTGCCTATTTCATGAAACTTGTTTTAAGAGGTTAATGTTTGCAGTTGTTGCAGCTGAGTTTCAAATGGGTTGTAGGACACTTTACATTATGCAACTTGAGTGCAATTTTCAAGCAACTGAAGTTGTATGGAGGTTTCACTGTGTAAAGCCAGCTATAGATTCATAAAGCTTCTCAGAGTAGGAGTGCTGATCTAGGATGATATCCTGTCAGTGAGGTCATTATAAATAAGAGAAGAATCTGGTCCAAGCTCAGCACTGAGATGCTTTATAAATATGGGCCCAGATAACAGTTTAGGAGCCATTCATGAAAAAAATAATATAATTCCAGAAGATTCACAGCATTTTTCTTCAAACTGTGGAAACATTCTTTCTTCAGTGAGGACTTCAACAAAATCCTTTATCAGCAATATTTTAAAATAAACTGATATAAATGTACAGTATATATCATTTTGACTGGGTAATCAGCAGGCTTGGTAACCAGGTATCTTGAAGATCGTTTTGACTGGAATGAGACCTAAATATGACTTATTAGTTAATTGTTTGGGTTTAAAGAGATAGTTTGGCAAAAAATAGTGTTTACAGAATTTCACACCAAATGTAATCAATCAGTGAAGATGGTCTGTGGTTGACGTTTGCTTCTATAGTTTTGAACTAGTGCTACAAGACTAAGGCAGTTCACCCAATCACTTTCATTCCTACAGTCAGGAAATGCAAATTGGCCTGGATGACTGCCTTACACCTATTGACTGTCCCCCTGCTTGTTACTATTTTCTCGGCCCCTCAGCTCTACATACGACAGTTTTTAAACAGCATAGGAGGGAGGTGTACATGCACGACTCTTCCTCTGTCACTCACACGAACACTTTCAGACTGAGCTTTATTGAGATGGACATGCTGTCAGGGAAGTGCATCTTGGTAGGTCTGTGTTAGTGAGTCGTGGTGTCTGCTCAGATGGTGGGGACGGTGGGGATGATGGTAGTATTTGCATGCAGATCGACTCTGAACGAGTGACAGCCTCATTATATTTGACAAGCTGCCGTACAAATGCCAGCCGTGAAGCAATGGAAGGACTTGGTAGTTCGTCTATGACTAACCAGCATGACTGACCAGTATTGGGGAGCTAGGCATGTGGTACCCAGATGTTGAGGCTTGGCTAGCCTTGACGATGATAGAGGACTTCCTGTATTCCAGGTGTGAAAAAGGAAAGATTTTGGTAAACTCTGTTGGTTTTATGACAAGTAGCATTGTATTAATACAAAGATCTTTGTGTGCACATACTATAGTATTCAGCATTTCATTTATGGAGGGGATTTGCAGAAGGCTAGTATCTCCAGATCTAAGATCATACATTGGAACATAAACAGACAGACATTCTGTGGGATACATAGGTGCTAGCTCCATTTAGATCTTTAAAAACAGGTTCTCTGGAGTGATTAATCACACTTCACTAATCTGGCAGTCTGGTGGGCAAATCTTGGCTTGGTGGATGACAGGAGAACACATACCTATCAGAATGCATAGTGCTAACAGTAAAGTTTGGTGGAGGAGGGATAATGGTCTGGGGCTGTTTTTCAGGGTTTGGACTAGACCCCTTAGTTCCAGGGAAATGTAATGTTAATGTTACAGCATACAAGGACATTTTAGACAATTACATGCATACACCTTTGTGACAACAGCTTGGGGAAAGCCTTTTC